TCGGAAGTCTCATGCAACAGCTTCCTGGGGGCGATTATGCCACACAACATGAGCTCTCGAGCAACATGTGTGCTGACTGGTCTTGAACCTTGCAAGCCACTCCGAAGCATCAGAAACCATGCACGCCACTCAGAGTTCACATTTGTTACTTTAAAGTAAACCTTACTCACCTTAGTGGCGAGAAAATCAGAAGATCGAGTTCAACAAGGCTGTGTCCCTCCTGTGTGACCCCGGTGCCAAGCCAGCGAACACTTCTAGGAGTCGCGCTCGCAGTCTGGCTCAGGGCATGAAACCTCCGGGACTTGACCTCGGCTGCCGTATAGATTGTGGTATTGTATACCTGTCCTGCGATGTTGTTCTGACTAATTGCAATCTTCTCCAGCCTGGCTTCCCGGTGTTGAAGGAATGCACCCTGTCCTGTGGACTAACCTCTCAAGATGAGGACCGGACTGAGAACTGGATCATAGGAAGCGGGCATGATGAATAAATCGATCGAGACCAAGATGAGGATGAGAAGACCCAGTATATAGTGAGAGTAGTTTGAGAAGACAGCGACGTGATGATTGCAACGCCGGGAAGGACATATTTAGACCAATGCAATGAATTTTGTGCCAAGTGGACCTTGGAATACGAAGCGGCACCACAACAAGAGCAATCGCACTTGGTTGAAGGACCCAGAGCACATCGGCGGTAGCTCAAACGATCAATACGATCAACGACGGCTCGGAGTTGCACGAGCCTACCACGGTACCAAAATCCCGAAATACGGACAGGCGTAAATAAATCAGGTCATCGACAGCGATCTACATAACTACTCCTGCCGGCCCGGGAAGGAAACACTGAAGCGGGACGATCGTGGGCTCGTACGGCGGTCCGTTCGTCAAGCTCGGCTCAACGGGGGCTCTTGACAGCAGGATCTCCGGTGGGCAACAACCTCCGTGCGCGGGTTGGCTAATTGAGTTGTGATCGATCCCCAAGAAATGCCTCAATCCGCGCCTGGGCCAACCACGACCTGTTGAGATGTGAGTCTCAAGTCGACAAATTATGCACGGCGAATGCTCTTGTTTCTCGGATAGCACGATTCCTTGACTGATAAATCTCAGACAGTACTCGTGCTGCAACAACTCGATGAGGATGATGTGGAAATCATCAACAGGATTTCAAGTCTCTCGCAGGCTTGGTGGTTCGTGCTTGAGGGTGGCGGGGGTGTGTAGAGAAGTCTATCTGCTGTGTGGTTGCTTAAGAGTCCACTGGCCCACAAAGTTAATAGGGGGAGACATCGCTACCTTCTACACTAGAATCCTACCCTGGGTGGGTCTCATCCACCAAGGTGACTGCGTGAGTGGATTTGGATGGGGCTTTGGGTTGCGGGTCAGAGTGGAGCCGTGCACGAACTGGTGTGCCGACCGACACTTGCCTCATGCACTTGTTAGCCTGGACTCGGAGTTGGGGCTGGTGGCATCCAGGACTACGATATGGCAGCATGGACAAGCGTTCGTGCTTCGGGAACCGGCCACGAGGGACCGCGTTGATCTCATGCATGGTGCTTTAACGACAGACAGGCCGCATGCACTCACACAGCCTCCTCGTCGATTGTAGCTAGGATGGTATTTTTAGAATTATCTGGTGGTGATTGATTCAGTCGCAGCTGGTGAGATGGACCGGCTCCCATCACGTGCCCGCCTTTGATCAACTGACCATGCTTCTCGTGCGGGTTGATTATCGTGCCAAACCCTCGTTCAAAGAGGCATCCAAGCAATGGATGTGGATATTGGCATCGAGTAAGGCTACGGATCTCACCACCAACTTTAATGCAGGGCTGAAACACTCCATTCTATTTCCGTGGTGAGCTGAACACCACAATTACTGATGCAATGCCGCTTTGTACCCATGTTGAGATCAACTGGGTCATGATATCCTGATTGCTACCAGCTGAGAGATGATCATATTCTGGATTTAGAGGCTCCGGCAAAGCACCCAAGCGGCTTGTATGCTGGGACGTGGTCATGTTTGACGTGCCCTCGTATTTGTCCCCCGGTCACATGTGCGAAGGCGATCGAGGCGCAGAATCGCAGAACGTCATGGCTAAGACACCGTCGAGCGTAACACATGCGCTTGTTCAAGATGGCTAAGCACAATCATGTTTTGCCTCCTATACGAAAGGCTACTCGCTCGGTACATGTCCTAGGGTGAAGTTCTGACCGCGGGCTCACAACGCGATGGCCTGTTTCATCATACTGAGTACTTGGTCGGGCCGGTTCTACCCTCCGAGACCCGAGAAGCTACCAGAACTGTCAGTGGCTGCCTCTCTGGTGGCAGGGCCTTGGCGAACTATTTCGAGCACTGCCGATCGGCAGAGCACAGCCCTAGGTGCAGACCTGACTCGCCCGAGACGTGGCGAGGAAAACCGGGTCCGACTGGGGCCGCCTCGCCGACTTCGCGCGCCTATTTGCCGAGGCGGATTTGAGCGATAGGGAATGCCTGCTATTGCCTGCTATAGGAGAATGTTGGGGCTCAACTGGGCTCCAACCGGGCCCAGCTGCAAGGGCGGGTTGGGCGGTGGGAATGCTGGTCCAGAATATGCATATTGCTCAAGGTTTTTCTGGGGACACATCACAATCTCGCTGACTAGCAGAATGGGCAGTCTCCCCAGTTCCCCTGCATCTCTCCCCTGCAACCCTTGTCCTGTGCCAGGGAATATGTGCGGTTCTTGCTGCGGTTACCCGCTGCCACGTTCATCAAGCCGAAACGGCTGTATATTGAGGCACTGGATCCATCGTAGCATCGTCATAGCAGGCAGATGTGTAAACACAGTATTTTTCTGTATACGGTATACCACAGTAGGACCGGGGGTCGCCACGGAGGCCAGGGGTTGCACTGCCGAGCCCACCGTCCTATCACAGTAGCTTGTGAGCTTGTGTGCTAGGTAAGGTTTGTGCTTCTCCATCTCTGCTTGCTTCTTCCTGGTTGGTTGGTCCGGTTTTGTAAGCTCCGCCCACTCGATCTGGTTCGTCTGTTGTCGCTTGCTCGTGTTCGCCCTAGCCACAGCGTTGTAGCCCCATAGTATCTGTTTGTCAGTGCATGTCCACTGATCGCCACCGTGATGTCAGGCGAAGTGCGAAGATGTGCCCAGCCTGCCAGGTCTCCCAGTCTGCTCAGGGGCTCCCTCAGTTGATGCGCACATGCAATGCCTGCATGTCCCGGCACCCGACCAACCAGCCACTCCGTCTATAGATCGACAAGACGCAGATTTACATATAAGAGTTCGTCTTGTTTCCATCTGTTTACTGATTAGAGTTACCATCCATCACTCAACAACCCAACCTTCACTCACTCAACTCTCCTACCAACCAACCAAATCTTAATAGCCTACGTGCTTGACTGTCGCTTTTGCTTCAACAAACCAACCCCACACCAACCACCAAAATGAAGTTCCAAATCGCCACCGCTGCCCTGGCCGCTACCGCCGCCGCCGCCCCCAACCTGCGCGTCATCCGCCAGAACAACGGCACCGTCCCCGACGGCACCCCCTTCAACATGGTCTCGATCCGCTCCGGCTCGAACCTGCAGTACGCCTCCTTCTCCGCCGAGCAGGGTGGCCTGGGCCTCAACGTCAAGGAGCAGGGCGCCACCTGCTCGAACGGCGCCGAGCGGGAGTACGCCACCTTCTTCCTGTCCCAGGGCGAGCTGAACCTGTACACCCCCGGCAACGTCACCCAGAAGCTCTACGTCGACCGCTCCGGCATGGGCCAGGGCGTTCTGGGCTACACCACCTCCCCCGGCGGCTACGGCCCCGGCCGCAACTCCGAGACCAAGGGCTGGGTCATCGACCAGTACGGTGACCTGACCTTCGCCGGCGCCGGCTTCCTCGCCTGCCCCAGCTTCGACGGTGCCTACAGCGTCTGGGTCTCCGCTGGCGTCGCCGCCCCCGGCGGTATCTCCAACTGCACCGGCATTGCTGTCCGCACCACCGTAGCCAACGAGCCTGTTGCTTGCACCTACAGCTACACCCCCGCCACCAAGTACTAAATTGCTCGTGGTGCTGCGTGAGTGAGATTAGGGAAGGGAATAATCATCTGACGAGTCGACATCATCAATGCGGCTCGGTGTTGAAAAACAACACCATCATTGCATAGCGCTTGGTTTTTTAATGTAACGCGGACTCATTACGCGATTTTTGATGCTCGGAATTTGGACGAGTTTTTGGGTATACCAAAGGGAAATTCATGTGCATACTTTTACGATGTTTTGAGATACATTTTCATTGGAATATTCATCGATTCCAGCTACAACTTCTTCCATTTTACAATCAGTGATGATCGGTCATGAGTGATTTTGCGGTGAGGACTGTTCAGGTGAGAGCTTCCAGATGTCGTGGATCCGAATTGTGGTCGGGTCAACCGGGTCCCCTTACTCGACCGAGCTGATTAAAGTGGCCCCTAAATGAGGTGAGTGATTCAAAATTTTCTTCAATGTTATCAGATATCAACCAACATCATAAAGATTCAGCACAGACCCCAGGTGCCAGCACACTCGCTCTACTTGCTGCACAGCGGACGCGTTAGCCTCAAAGTCTAGAGATTAAACTCGATAATATACCAAGGACTAAATACACCCAGACGCGGCTCATCCCATCCCTGCCCCACACACCCGAACAATGCCAGCTGACTTTGACAAGCAAGAATACTGGCACGACCGCTTCGCCAAGGAGACCCGCTTCGAGTGGCTGGCGACATCGGACGAGTTCATGCGCATCCTCGAGGCGGACACGGACTTCTCAAAACTACTACAGCGCAGCCCTGCCCTGTCCACCTCGCCCTCATCCCCACCGCCTCGCATCCTCCACGTCGGCTTCGGCACCAGCGACCTGCAGAACCACCTCCGGGCCGCCGGGCTCGAGAGCGTGCTCAACGTCGACTACGAGCCGCTCGCCGTGGAGCGCGGGCGTTCGCACGAGGAGGGCCGCTTCGGTGACGTGAGGATGGGATACGCGGTCGCGGACGCGACGAGGCTGGACGTGGACCTTGGGCGGGTGGCGCAGGCGGCGGGGGGTGAGCAGCCTGAAGACCAAACCCCAAGATTCGATCTCGTCATCGACAAGAGCACAGTCGACGCGGTGTCGTGCGGCGGCGAGGAGGTGGTCCTGAGGATGTGCCGCGCCGTCAGGAGATGTCTCGCCCCTGGGGGGTTTTGGGTCTCGCTTAGCTACTCGGCGTCGCGGTTTGACATCGAGGGGTTGCCGTTCCGGTGTGAGGTCATCGCGAGGATCCCGACGATGAAGTTCAGGGAGACGGATCCTGATGTTTATCACCATTGCTATAAATTGACGCTGGGGGATGAGCCGTGAGCCGAGTATCGTATTGATAGCGAGGCATGTAGACTCGCCTCCTGGCTGTTTGGTGTACCCGCAAAAGGTGAATTTACTGGCAGCTGTCAGGTCCTGCGCACCAGCGGCATGCTCCCCGAACCGCAATGCATTTTATGGCCTCAACGGGATCGTCAGCGTTGCATTTTGCTCGCATGTCACCGTCGTTGAGCCTAGGTAGCATCATTCTATACTAAAACAATTCCACCCTGTTCTAGAGCAAAGTAGCCTACTTAGGTACTATGCTAATAATGCTAAAAGAGGGATGTCATGATGCCGAGAGCTTGATCATCACTAAAATTACCTATATAACCGTACCGCGTTATACCTCCAGTAACGAGAATTTTAACACCTCCGCACGGCGTGATCCGGCACTTGTGGCTGTGACTCTGCCAGGTCCAAATTTACAAAGAAAACATGAGCAGATATTAGTCTAAGAAAAAAGGAGGCAGGCTCTTTTTCATATTACTATGCTCATCCAACGCGCACGTTCCTGAACACCTCTTTAACCTTCCTCTTGGGACTTTCACCCAACGAGATACCCGGTGACACGCCGTGCACCCCTAGCGACTTTATCGATACCTTTTATGATATGCTTTCCCTGACTATGATCCGGATGATGCTCAGGCGTCATACGGACCATGTATTTCGGGATAGGCTAGATGAGGACTCACAAACAAAGCTGTCGCAGCTGTGAATGTAAAAACAATGTTGCTCTGCCCGAAGCAGCGTGTTTGATTGCCTTTCGGGGCCCATGGACATCTCGATAGCAACCTGGCGTTAGCGAGGACCCAGAAGTTTCTTTGACTGTAAAATCAGTGATCTATTGGAGTATCCGCGTCTTTACTATTATTTGAACTCACCAACCCACGCACCATGGTGGCGTCCTTCTCCAGGTGCTTCAGCCTCGCGTTGATATGCTTGCCTTCCGTCGACCATAGACCCTCGGTTAATGAGAGAGGTTGTACTTTTACTTACCTTACCCAAACAAGCCTGCCGGTACCGTCTCGCAGGTGGGGGGGGGGGGGGTGTTAGCCGGGAGGCCGGTCATGGCCCAGTGAATGTCATTGTGCAACGATCAGGCACAGATGGAGGCACACTGACCCAGCCCCCAAGAGGGGTAGCTCTTAGAATTGAGCTAAGTCGAATATGCCCATTTCGACTTGGAGGTGAATTCAATATCAACTAGTCATCATTCACACCTGTCCCGTATTCGAGCGCCAAGTTCCTCAAGTAAGAGGTGCTGTCACTGGTGACATAAGATGTAAGTTTCCCCGGTGGTGCTTCAAGGTGCGCTGGTAGAAAGTTGACGGTTGTATCTTCATACCCGTTCAGTCTAGTGATTACTGAAACAAGATACAAACAACATGGTTTCTCTGGGCATTGCTATTTCTATCCGCCCCCACTCATGCAGAACTGAGCCAGACGATGATCTTCATTGATGTTGTCTGCAAGTGCCCGAATTGTTGATCAGGCTACCAACGGCCAGTGGCCATGTTGACGCCACTTGAAGATTTTGGATAGTGAATGCCGTGTAACCTTCGTATTCAGCAAAATACTACTTGCCCCGCCATCCTTCTCAGCAAAGTCTGCTTGATTAAACCGCGCAGCCTATTCTACTACGATTCCTGACAGACGACTCCATCTCAGTCTCCGCATCACGCAGTCTTTCGGTCGTGCAAGATGTCCCAGGTCAATGAAGGTAATGTTGTCTGTCCAGAAAAGTCCGTGAAGCTTCGCGCGCCTAATTCTAGTCCAGAAGTAGTCCCCGTGACAATAGATCTCGCCACAGAAACAGCTTCTATAACAAGTACTCTGGACTTAACAGTCTTGTCGACATCATCCACTCGAACTTCCACTAGGACACCTAGCGTATCTACACCAACGCTCGCGCCCAGCGAGACCATTTCGAGTGACCAGCCAGCCAGCTCAGCAGCTTCCGCCACAGAACCCCAGAGCTCAACACATACCCCGAACTCGACGCAACTGTCCATCGGAGCCATAGTGGGAATATCAATAGGCTCTATTGTTGCAGCCATCATACTCGCAGTATGTCTGTTCGTCTTCCTCGGCTTCCGCATCCAGCGTTCGAAGCGGCGGCGGCGGCGCGGCACCCCCACCGAAGTACCAGAGCCGAGGGGTCAATTTCCCGCATCGACCACCACCCCCGGCGGTCCTCGTGGCAAGGCAGAGCTGCCATATGAGGAGTACACACGGAGGATGGAGAGGCTGCACGAAGGAGCCAAGCCGGAGTTGGAGGGAAGCAAGGCGAGGAGGTCGGTGTGGGGGTTTCTCTCTATCAGGTCCGCGAGCAGAAGTGAGCCCCGGCAGGTCCCTACTGAGCTCTGGACTGAGCCGCCGGACCCGGGGCCGCATGAGCTTCCGGGTGATGATGTTCTGCGATCGGACCGCGAGGAGCCTCGGGACGCGAGGGACGGTACGTAGGGTACACCTGAGACTTGGTGACCATATTAGGTCTGTTGTTTGCCGTCTGGCAAGAGGTTGTTGTTACAAACTCTCCGCTGAAATGTTGTTGGCTCCTTATCAGGGAAATAGGTCAAAGATAGAACGCAGGTTGAAGGTGTTTCAAGACGTAAAAAGACAATCACTGTTGACGGGAGCAGGCTATTTAGTATAGCTGTATAAGTAGAGAAGTACTGGGATCTTACTGTATAAGTTTATTAATACCTTTTATAATAGACTTTTCCTAACTGTTATCTAAATAGTACTTAGGCACATATGACGGCTTCATGAACGTGCTTATTATTACATTAATACCTAGGTATATAGACTAGCCTCCTAGCTGATTTGATGCCCGTAAAAGGTGAATCTATTAGCAGCTACAGCATGATCTCCGAACCGCACTACACATTATGGCCTTACTAAACAACACGTCGAGATGGAGCGGAACAAGAACTCAGGCTCCCGATGAACAGATCCTTCCTACGCTGGGGTCACCTTCAATCAAAAGCATGAGGTGGCTGTTACTCGACGCCCAATGGTCAGACCTGGCCCCGAAACGTGTGGAGATTCTGTACCTAGGTATGAAGGACTTGAGTAGTTTTCCGCCGTGGGCTTGGATACCCAACTGTGTATAGATATTTAGTACTCGTTCTCTGCTATATTGTGCGTCTTCCTATGCAAGTTCTAGTTTGACACTGGCTGAATATTACCCCCCGGAAAAAGACCACTACTATGGTGATGCAATTGTGAGGATTATCACCTCTGAGATGTGACAGACAGGGGCAGAGAAACACGGCCCACAACCGCTGGACTTCGGCGCAACGTGAACGCTGCAGGCGCCTGTTCCAAATCCGTCCAGCAGGTCGTCCCCCACAGACACCAACGCGTTCTTGTCAAGAGTGCCACCATCCTGCAGCTGCAGCGTGCACAGATCTATGGTCACTTTGGAGGGCAATTATAGTTTTAAGGTTGCCGGCAGGATTTGGTGGGTGCGTAAGATTGGTGTCATGTCATGCATGTTGCGGTTGTTTTTGGATGAGAAGGATGGGAAGGAGCCCAAGGGGCTGGTAAGTACCAAGGTACCGTCTGGTCGGGTAAACGGGGCCACCCTCTCGGTGTGTGTCGTGGAAGAAGGAAGGTGAGGAGAAGCTGTGCTGGTGCCGAAAGTTTGATCTCCGATCTTTGCACCTGAGAACGAGCCATGATTTCTTGGGTGTTTATTACAAAGTTTGTGGTTTGGAGACAAGCTCTTGTGACACTTCATGATTGGGCTTGCTGGCTTGCTGACAGCACACCCTCCCCCTCCCCCTGCCCCCAACTTCAAGATGTCAGGGTCAGGGTCAGGGTTGGATTGTGCTCTCAAATGACGTCACCACCCCCCATCAACAGCCCTTCGTCTGTGCAGTCAGAGTCGACCTGCAGAGCTGACAACAACAACGACACCGACACCGAACCACCAGAACCACCCAGCCCAGTGCCACGCAATGCCACGGTGAGACAGCCGTTACAGCACGAAGCCAGTAATAGGCCGGATCTGCCATGCCCGCGTAGCAGGATGCAGCCGCAAAAACAACACGGAACTGGCTGAGCGGACCTCGTCGTGGCGTCGCGGCCCCCAACCGGGCCGCCACAGGAGGCGGTCAGCCGTCTTTGCCGGCCCTGCCCCGTCTCTGCCTGCAAATCAAACGCCCGACGCCGCCTCAGCTGCCGAGTCCTATTGGGTGCGGTACTTCCCAGCCTGGCGAGGCCCGGGCCCGCGGGCGGACGGCCCACCCTCGAACACGCTGGGCGGGCTCTTTTGCTCTGGCTGCTGCTGCTGCCAGATGCCAAACGCCAAACGCCAAACGCCAAACGAGCAGCGGAAACGACTGGTGCTTACATACCCTGGACTGCGGGCGAGGGCGATTAGCCGCTCCGTTGCTGGTGCTGCTGGTGCTGCTGGTGCTGCTGGTGCTGCTGGTGCTGGCTCTGCTGGCTCTGCTGCAAAGACTAGACTCGACTCGACTCGACTCGGGCCGTGGTTTTTGAGGCCGTCGTGGGTGATGCCAGTGCCGGGGGGCAGTGTTGCCTGGACCTGGACCGTTTGCCCGTGGCCCTGTGGGGTTTCTTGTTCACATCTTCCCTCAGATCTTCATTTTGCCCCGATCTCCCTCCCCTCCGAAACACTCTCGTGTGTTGCCATTTAAGACGATGCGGGCGCCGCTTTCTTGGTTTTTCCCATTCATCTTCCGGGACTGATTCTCGTACACACACCCCCTTTCCCTCCCTTTCACTTCTTAACCACAAGGCAGCTGGTCTCTTGTGCATGTGTGTTTCTATAATTCTTTTTCTCCCAGGGTAATTCAAGAGTCTCGTCGTTGCCGGCCATCGACAGTCCGTCCTTCCAAACCGATTCCCACGCAGACGTGCACGATAATAAATCACATCCTTTCACTCCTTCAGGATGCGTTATAACTCAGTCTTTCACGGCCCGCCCTCCCCTTCAGATGCAGGGCTCATCAAGCTCAAGACAGGGCCCGGCCCTTTGAAGTTGCAGAAGGAGCGCCTCCCAACATCCCAACACCACCGCGTGCGCAAGGCTTCTCTCTCGACCGGGTCAGGCACGGGCACGGGCACGGGGACAGGCACGGGCACGCCGTCGGGCACAGCAACAGGCGCCAGCACCCCTCCGTCCTCCGTCGACCCCCACTCCTCGGCAGCCCCTCCCGTGAAGAGGGTCAAGAGCCTGCGCGCCCCCACCGAGGACGCCATCATCGAGGTCAAGACCCCCGTCACCGCCCGGCCCCGGCTCGACAGCAGCACCGGCGCCGGCAACAGCAGCAGCCACCAGAACCCCGCCCTCCCGGAGCTCAAGCCCTGGGAGTCGTACCTGCACTGGCTGTGCCTGACCGAGGAGCCGGGCACCCTGTGGAGCTCGTCCCTGTGCGCCACCTTCCACGAGTGCCTCGTCACCAACCCGGGCGCCGCCAGCGTCCAGGCCTCCGAGTACGCCGCCCGCATCGACGACATCTACTGGAGCTTCTACCTGCCCCTCGACCCGCTGTTGCAGTTCATGGAGGACCGCATCCTTTCGGGCTACCTGCTGCACGTCTGGACCATGTTCATCGAGCTGGGCAAGAGGATCCCGCACGACGACCCCGCCCAGGAGAAGCTGGTCGACCTGCTCAAGGAGCTCGTGCACCTGCCGCCCATGGAGGTGCGGACGTGGGAGGTGAGTGTTGACACTTTTTGGACTTCTCATATCCTGCCATCTATCTGGTAATGGTGCGAAGACACTGGTCTCGTGAGAGCTGACCTTGTGCACAGGGTAACGACGCCCCGTGGACCGACCTGCCCACCCTCGACGACGCCCTGATTGCCGCGTGGGACGATCTGTGTAATTACTATGCCCTCCCTTGTACTCCCCTTCCTCCCGTCTCACCCACCCGCTGACCATCACGCCCACCCACAACCGCAGACGACCCAGAAGTCCAAATGTCCGACCCGGAGTGCCACTGGGTAAACTACTTTGCCTTCCTCGGCCGCCTCGTGTCCGCGGACGTGACGCCCGACTGGTGGGAGATCCCCTCCATCACGCTCAAGGAGGTCCTCGCCGAGGACGTCGCGCCCAACTACCTGACCGTCTACAAGACCATGGCCCTGGCCGAGTACATGAACCACGCGGGCGACGCCTTCTTCGAGTGGTGCATCGACTCGGGCATGCTCGACACGCGGGTGTCCATGGCTATCATCTCGCCGCTGCTCGAGACGCCCGTCCAGCGGGACTGGTTTGATAAGAGGCGGGTGGTTGGGGGTGATGCGGATTCGGTTGACTGAGGGGGGGTTGGATGATTAATCAAGTGTGTGTGAAAACGGAGCTTCGATTGTTGCATTTTTCTTTTGTGGATGGAACAGGGGAAGGGACGGGGACGGGGACGGGGCAAGGGACAGGATGACAATATGGCATATATGGTGTTTGGTTGGCTGGATGGGACGGGTCTAGACGCGGCATTAGAGCGTATATTGTTTTCGGGGAGAGCGAGACGACAGCCATCGTACACACATAACCACTAGGTATTATAAATCCACACAAAGCCAGACAAACCTCTTTCAAACCCCCAACCACATCTCCTTCTCCCCCCTCACTCGGCCTCCCAACCTTGACCAGCTGGGCAACGCTGTCATATTCATCAGCTCCCCCGGTCCCGTGCTCGCCGTCAACAACACCACCATTCCAGTTGGTCTTGAGGGTTCAGCCCAGCCCAGCTCGCCGGATTTACGATGGCTTGGCCGCCGCTTCTACTTACTGAGCATTGAAGTAGGCGTTCGGGGTGGGAAGAAGAGATGTCTCTTTCTTTCAGGCGCACGAACGAGGTCATCACAGTCCAGAAAATGTTTAGATTAGTACTGAGGACACATCATGGTCGTCAACTTACGGTAGTTGATCAATGGAGAAATAGCGTCCGTCGCCTCTAAATATGTACCCGCATTACTTGAGTGAATCGCCCTCCTTCTGAGACCATAGTTAGAGACGCGCTCTCAGCTGCCCCTCACATCCTCAATGTTGGCAAGGACAGACTCCTCCAGCCCGACCCACCCGGGCCGCCCGAGGTCCCGCAGCAGCTGCTCGGCCCTGCCGCGGGGGGCGATCTCGCTCGGGTCCGACCCCGCGGAGAAGTTGTCCGGGATCTTCCTCGTGCCGCCGGGCGCCGCGGCCCTGCGCAGGATCCCCAGGACGTCGTCCATGCTGAACCGCCCCGCGAAGCCGAAGATGCGCTCGTCCTTGACGTGGGCGAGGATCCCTGCTGCGACGTGCAGCCTGCCCGTGTCGCCGACGTCGATGAAGTACTCTGGTTTGAAAGGAATTATTTAGCAGAACTACACAGATGAACTCGATTTGGGGGGGGGGACGACGCACGTGGGGGTACTTGGTGGTGGAACGGCAGCACCTTGCCGTGCCAGAGCGCGACGGGGAGGCCGGCGCTGCTTGGGTGGCCCTGGTGGACCGGGTCGAGCGACCTGCCGAAGTTGAGGTCGGGGAGGACTGATGATGTTGCTGTCAGTGAGTGCTGGTCCCGGCGGAAACAAAACCACGACACCCCAGACAGTACATATCAATACTCACCCGTGTTGACAACCAAATCAGGTCGGCCCCCGCGGTTCTCCTCGTGGTACTTCCACACCGCCTGCTCAGACGCCGCCTTGCTAGCCGCATAGACAACGCCGCTGCGGTCCTCCGTATAAGGGGGCTCAGCCCACGCGGCCGCGAGCGCGGCCTCGTTCCAGCTGTCCTCGGCCACCGTGAAGTCGGGGCCCGGCCCGCCGCCGGGCGCGACGGCCGCCGACGAGGAGGAGGTCAGCACGAACCGCCGCACGGAGGCCTCCTTGTACGCCGACCTGAGCGCGTTTAGCGCGAAGCTAACCGCGGGGGGGATCACGGCGTCCGGGTCGGGTGAGAAGCTCATGATGCTGGCGGAGTGGACCACGATGGAGGTGCCTGTTGTGGTGTGGTCAGTTCAGTCTCGGCGGACCAGGGCCTCGTCGCTGCTAAGGGTGTTGCCATAATTACCTTTCACGGCCTCGTCGAACGCGCCGTCGGCCTGGAGGTCGGCGACCTTGTACAGCTCGAAGTTGCCCCCGCCGTGCTTCTGGTCGAACAGCGCCTGGAGCCAGGCGTTCTTTTCGGTGTCCCGGACTGTGCCGCGTACCCTGTAGCCGTGCTCGAGAAACTGGTCGGCGATGTGGGAGCCCAAGAGGCCATTGGCTCCTGTGACGAGGACGAGGGAGCCCTTTGGCACTGCTAGGTCGGGGAGAGGTGTCATTGTTGATGATGGGTGCCGGGAAGTCGGGACGAGATGGCTTGGTGGGTGTTGAGATTTGAGTAGATGTCATTAACAGATGTGATTGCTGATGGCATCTTGTTAGATTTTAAGGGAGTTCTAGCACCGGTGTCTGTCTTCTGTATCTGACAAATGAACCGAGCAGAGATTATTGATATTCTGATGCGATACGAGGATAACAAGGGCCCATACAATCCTTTGGATATGGGTAGAAATGTCTCATTTCGACCAGACACTTCGACGAGAAGTGATTGAATACCTATTCAGGTAACGCGCAAGACCGGAGCGCTTAGCGAGAAGGATGTTGCTTACATATCTTAGCATCTCCTCGTCTCGGCGCAAATGCCCAAGCCGCCAGGTTAGTCTCTAGGCAATAATTATGGGGTTTGCTGACAATCTCAGGGCCTTCGGGGAGTTTTTTTTACACTTGCCCGTGCGGCCGCTTCCACTCCGAGCCGGCCTAATGAGTAATCATCCCAACTTACCTAGGTGATGGCAGCCCCTTGTTGTCCGAGTTCAAAAGAGAGTTAGTTCATTCTCTAATAAATGAGGATCACATGGAAAAGAAAGCAGAGTACTCGGTTTCAAGGATAATGACCCCTACATAATGAAATAATCGCCTCTACGAGCCCAACACTAAGCTTTGAATTATTTCGTGCACGAGTGTGTCTTTACGAGCCTGGGGTCTCGGCCTTGGTCAAATGCAGCCGGCGTCCACCTACCTAGGTACCCTTCTCGAGCGTCTACCTATCTATCTATTTATCTAGTGGTTGATCTAGTACAAAATTTTATTTGTCTACATGAACCATACAAAATTCAGTATCTGCTTTCGCTTCTATTCTGCACACGTCCGAGGACATACGGGTACATGGCGTCTTACACCCGGGCAGTGTTTCGTTCTTATTAATCCGTATACATCCCGAAGGCGGACGGTCCCTTCACGCAGTGATAAACGCCCAAAGCATCTGCTTTGGCAAGAGATTGCTCGAAACCCAATGGAAAAAACATGGCCCGGCCGTTACCTCAAAGCCAAGCCAGAGTAACTAGGTGGTCGCGCTCCTGCGGCAGGCTTTCGAGCGTCTGCGTATGAGTGGCTGGTCAGTAATTTCGCGCCGGAGCTTGTCTGGGAACTGCTGCTTTATACAATGTTCATGGTTGCACATCTTGAGCATTTCAGCCGTCGGTCGGCCGCACTCGTCATCCGTCTCCCCAGCTTTGTGACTCGGGACACCTGGAGCTTCTTCTGCTGCTTGAGTCTGGGTCTTGTGTTAACACCACTTTGCCAACTGATTACTGCGGAGAAACCGTTTTTCGTCTTGGTCTCACAGATTCTGGCGAAGGTCTTCGTCGCTCTAGGCCTTTTGGTCTCCACCCAGTTGATCCTGGGGCTTCGGGGTGATCTTGGGCCACTCGGTCAGGGCTTAGAGCGGAGGTCGAGGTCAGTTTTCGGAATCAAGAGTTGACACGGAAAGGGAATCTAACCTACATTTTCCCTGATTATCCACCTTTTAGTGGCCGGTGGTAGCCATTTGCTTGTGTTCGCCAGGGCGCTTGCGTGCGTCCTGACCAGCCTTTTCTCCCCTCTTTTGAGATGCTCCTGGCTCTTACCCGTGGCTCTGCACGCTAGAGAAAGAAGGAAGCTGGGTACTGTAACAACTAGGAGCATTGAGGTTGCCGTATCTGATCTTGCGGGAATATGACCTTTCTCTACCTAGGTATTCGAGGCTTCTTCGCCCTTGTTTTTTGGTCGAGTCAGGTGTGACACTGAATGGTCTTTCTCGCCACCGTTAGGATTATCCTTCTTATCCCCGTCACCATTATCGGTTGCTTTGCCTTTTCCATTGTCCTCTTGGGGGCCGGGCTTGTCTCCTGCGCCGTACCTCTTGTTGGTCTCCTGGTCAGACGGGCTTTCGCGTTTATCCTTTGCGTTCGGAGTCCGGGGCTTTGCCTCCGACGACTGGGTGTCCTGCATTGGACGGTGAGCGGGTGTGTGGTCATCAGATATTGCGTGTTCAGTCTGTCTTATGTTTCAGAAATTTAGAAATGTTGGAGCGTCCTTAATCTCTCGATTTCCATGGTCAATACAGTCGGCCAGACTCCTGGCGCAGTAAACAAGCCCTCTGGCCGGGCTCTTGTCATGGACATATCTCAAGTTGCCTGAATCAAGTAATGTGCAGAAGTGAGCAATCTTGCAAAATTGAAGGGATTAAAAATCTGATCTATCATATGTTGATTTGATGGTAGCACTTTGTTAGGATCGGGCGGGACCTTGAAGGATATGTCGACCCTCACGTAAGCTCAAGATATTCAACCACCATTTGTGGGCTGATCGCCCACTGCATACGAGCACCAAAATAGACCAGCATCCTACGGCCCCAAGAATTGGTTCAAAAGGTCGGTCGCCTCTGCCTAGCCTATGGAACTGACTTCACAAGCACCAGCCAATACCTCCAGACCAAAGAATTCCCAAATCACCACCACCATCGCCGCCAACCCTGGCCTTCACCCCATACTAATAGGTCAGCAGCCAGGACAGGTCTTCAACCGTTGACCAGCACCGTCCAATCAAAAAGGACGCTCAAAAACTGACCTGCTGCATCCGTTGCCGTTTCCCTAGCGCCCGAGGCCCCGGGGGCCCAAACGGCCCCGGGCCCGGCTCCGATTACCTCAGACTTGGATCAACGTACATTTTCATCCACACGATATCCGAGGGCACGCCCCTTTCTGACAACCATACTGGCCCATGCGGCGCCCCCACACATGAGCCGATCCGCGGCGGCCCAGGCCCGCAGGAGGCTGATTCCGAAATGCGCGACCACGACGTGATGGTGACCGTCTGGGTCGACCGCAAGGCCGTCCGCCTGCTACACTTGATTGATGTGCGCGAGGAGACGGTCGAGGCGGGGCACATCGCCGCGGACGGCTTCCTCGGCCAGCTGAAGGCCGTTGACGACCGCGAGGGGCTGCCTGGAAAGACCAGGGCACACGATGCACGAGAGCTTCAACCCTGGTCACTCGGGCTTGCGACTGGCTAGACATGAGCGCCGAGGAGCTCAGCCTTCGTTTCAATTGGGACCACGGCGGGTTCCGGCGAGAGTCGTTTCGTCGCGCCTGCTCGTAGCTCAGGTACCTCATCCGCGCTAATGAAGACGGAAGCTTGAACTATATTACGGGTTCTCGTGGTGTCCCATTCCCCGTTCCGCGTAGTTCTTATAAGAAGCAAGATGTTGATGAGAAGGAGAGCTAAGAGATGTGTACCAGAGTGCTGAGAAGATTGGCAGAGGCCAATTTTCTAATAGAAGAATCCCGCGGATAGCAGAGAGAGAAGAAATATCCAGATACAACAATTCAGTCTATTTAAAGGACGCAGGATATGAAAACAACATACTTGGACGGAGTATATTAAAATAACTATTGGTCAACTTTACGCGCGAGGAACTGAGCACCAACTACACCTGCAAATAGCTCGCAGGCGCCACTGCGCTTAGCTATTCCGGCGCTGCATGCCTGGTTGGCATTTATAATACAGGCGTATTATCATAATTCATCAATGCTTTGTAAGAAGCAATAATGGAATAACATTTATTGTGAGAGCTGCCCAGGTGTGAGCTTTCACATTTTCACGGCTGTACAACAGGAAAAGCCAACCTCTCTATATTGGAGTAGGTAGGACGTTTGACTATGTTATTTGAGATAATGGACTTGACAGAGATCAAAGTGCTCTGAGAGATACCGCTGATTGGCGTTAGAAACATACCTGGCGACCTGTTCGCAGTGTAGCTCTGGAAACTTCGGGGGTCCAGTATGTGCAATGCGTTCCACCCAGGTGCCCTCAAAGCTAAGTGTGTGAGCATGTTTCCCAAAAATCTTCATCTAAAAAGTCATAAAATTCATTGGAAGTCGAACCAATCCATCGCGACGCTGGATGATGAAGGATGTGGCCGATCCCAAGTCACCACCGGGTCTTGGGGGCTGGCCTCCTCAAGCTTACTGAGACCCCGGGTCCTATCACCGGGTCAAAGATGAGCTGATGTTAAGAAAATGAGTCGACACCGACTGTTGAAGTACATAAAAAAATATTGATTGCGCCTAGAGACACTTTTACCCTTTGTTGTTGCTCTATCCATAAAAGGAGCTCCACGTTCTCCATTTTCTGTCTTGCTGTTCCGTCATCAATCACCACCAACACTCTTTCAGCCTGAATATCATTACAACACAGAAAGCTGGACTTTCTGATTCCTTTTCAGTTCTACAATCACTCATTAAGCATTTTCAACTTTCACACTCACTTTCAAACTATTATACCGTCAGAAAGCCGGACTTTCTCATTGTCATTTGCTCATAGACCCCCTCCCCCTCACTGATCTCCAGACTGTCGCAGTTTAACATACGCTTCGAGCACAAAAACACTTTCGGTTCATTCAACAATCCAAGATGAGGGTCTCCGCAATTCTTGTACTCACTGTGATGGCGTTCCAGGCCAACGCCTTGGGGGACAAGCAAACCACGAACCAGGAAGTCACGCAAACAGGTGGTGAAGGTGGCTCCGGAGGCGATATTAACCTGGATGGTGGCAACGGCGGCGATGGTCCTACCAGCGTATGTGATCCAGAAACCTCATCTTTGCCCATTAGTACTATTGATGACCTACGCCTTTTCACACCTGTTCCGTTTCACGGCTTGGGGGTTTTGGCATCAGCTAACGTGTCTCTCTCTTTGATTACAGACCGGTGGCGACGGCGGCGACGGCGGTGACGCCTCTGGCGGACAAGGCACCGACTTCAACCTGACCAACCAACACACCACCCAGGGCGGCGCTGGCGGCACCAACAGCAACGGACAGGCCACGGAATGCAACGGCAGCTGTGTGACCTATGTCACCCAGTCGTCTGTGGGCGCCAACGGCGGCGCGGCCGCAGACTACAGCAACGTCCAGCTGCAAGGCCCCATCGCCAACACCGACTCGAGCGGCGGAAGCTCTGTCGGCGGTAATGGTGGCGAAGTACGTCAATCCTCCGCTCCCTCCCTCCGCCCAGTATATGTGTGGATTCTGACAGGACTCTTGGTGATAGAGCAATGCTGAGGGAGACGGCGGGGCGGGCAGCCAGAATGCGGAAAGCACGGGAGGGGATGGAGGGGATGGGAATCAGGGTGGCACAAACGAAGGGGGTTCCAACGAGAACTCGAACTCGTTCTCGGCTGAGCTCCCGGTGAAGTTCCCGTTTACTCGCCGATACCAGCCAGGCGCGTACGAGGCGCGCAACGCGGGCATTTGATAGATTGTAAAGGCAGTGGGTTGGGAGTGCTGCCAAGTTAGGCGAGCTTGTTGTACGAGGTTTTCCTTTAGTTCCTATGGATTTCATGGATCGAGTTGGCCCCTGTCGATGATGGAGTCAAAACAAATGTTAGTACCCATTGAACTTACTAGTAATAGTGGTATCTGGTCAGCGACTATTCAGTCAAGAAATGCGGAATAGAGGCGAGACCAGTTAGGTCACGATTAACCGAGTTCCAGGGTACCAGTGTCTCCTCGAATGTTCAAAGTTCTCGCTCGTTGAGTATTACAAAGACACCTTTGAGTCATTTTACTCCTTATTCCCTGCAACTTACTACCTGGTTCGTTGTTTCTAACCTAGACACTGCCGACACCTGTGCAGCGGTACTAAACTTGGCTCGGTCGGCATTCTTCCAAGATTCTCTCGGCCCTATTCGCGAATGTGCATCATTTGAAAAGAGGGGTGGGGGCGGTTTATTCAGCTGCCTAGGACAGACACCCTTGTGAAATTTGCGACATCCGGAGTCTTTTCCAATTTTCATAAACCGATGTGGTCGTCATGTTACACTGCAGAGGTTCGCAGCAGTGGAGGTGGGGGCGATTCAGCTGCTCGGGGTTTTGTGGTTGTTCCGACGCCAAAAATAAGCCAGAAGGTGGTATTGAATATGCAAGGTACGGTATGATGAGAAAATCGTAGTGAAAGAACGCATGGCATTGGACTATTAATGTCAGCAGTCTCGGCGTCAACCGGGATCCACACTGATAGTCACGCAGACATCACCAACAATAGCTAGCCTATGCAGCTCAGTTCAGCGCCCTAAGCGCCTATCCACAAGCAAGGGAGGGTGGGCAGCCGAAGACCGATATCTTACAAGATGTAATATTAGCTGCTCGTCCGCCGTTTGTATGGTCAGATATCCTATCTGTGTGCATCTGACCCGTGGCTATCACCACGAGACGACAATGGCCGACAACTCAACACCCCCCGAGCTCGACGCCCTGGGTGCCATCGGGTTCAACGGGCGCAACAACGATACGGTCGGCTTCGTATACGGGCCCAACACGCGGGGCACAATGGACATCGTCTATGGCTGCCTCGTGGTGCTCATCGCGGCCATATGGACCGTCGTCCACATCAACATCCCCGCGGCCGGCGAGACGTGGTGGTGGGTGCTCTTCAGGCGCTTCCGCTGGGGCTGCGTATCCATCTTCGCCCCCGACTTCCTGACCCTGCTGGCCGCCTCGCAGTGGGACGCGGCGACCAAGTCGGTGGCGTCGATGCGCCAGTTGCCCCAGGCAGAGGAGAACGGGGAGAGATGGCGCCTTGAGCATGCCTTCTACGCGAACAGCGGTGGCTTCCTCCTCCAGTGCCCCGACTGCGCGGCGTTTCCCATTAACGCTGCCTCGTTGTACTTCCTCGTTTCCAAAGGCTATATCGACCTGCCAGACATGACGGCGGATGAAATCAAGGACAAGTCCAAGGCTGATTCTTTTGCGAAGTTTGCTGCGATATTTCAGGGCTTTTGGCTCATTGCACAGACCATCGCGAGGCTGGTTCAGGGACTTCCGCTCAGCCCGCTGGAACTATTCACTCTGGCCTTTGTGGTGTCGACAGCAATGTCCTATTACTTCTGGTGGCGGAAGCCCCAGAACGTGAGCACGCCGACCGTTATCCATTGCCCCTTCCTTATAGCGAAGATCAGGACTGATGCAGGATTGGCCCACGAGAATTGGACTTCGACCCCGATGGATTTTGTGGAATGCGAAGGTCGGAGGTGGCGGCGCCGGGACATGTTCCAAAATTTCGACTTGGAGGCTGGGCCACGACGGACGGAGAGGACCTCCACGGCTCCCGTCGGCAACGATATCAGTCAACAAGGGGAGAAAACTACAGACAAAGAGAACAAATTGCAGGAAGAAATTGGAGAACGGGACGGTATAAGCAAATGCCTGGGTAGCGAAGCAGGCCTCAGCCCAGTTTCTCCTTCCAACGGATTCGAAAAGGGGAAGGCCGAATACAAGAGAGTGGACAGCGACCTAACCTTGGTCTACACCCCGACCATCCCAAGGCCATCGAAACAAGCTCCACTGCGCGCGAAAAAGTCGACGAGCGAGGATGAGGAATATACCCCCACAGGGAGACAGCCAGTCCAGCGCGTACCCGACGATGCCACCCTACCCCCAGCAAGAATACCGGCAAAGATTCTCCTCTCCCTCATACTCCCGTCCATGCTTCACTCGACGATCCATCTTCTCGGCTGGGATCTCGAGTACCCCACGGACATCGAGCGGCACCTGTGGCGCGCCGCAGCCGTGACGCTGACGGCAGCCTCGTGTCTCTCCATCGCCATCACACGCCTGCTGGCCCTCGTCGGCTATAGGGGCCGCTATAATCTCGTCTATTTCTGGGTTAATGCGGATTATGAAGAGCCGCAGGAAGACCAACATGGTGGCCTTAGGCGGCTGGCAAGGAGCCTTCCCTTGATTGAAGTGCTTCTGTGGCTATCTACGGCTGGGCTTATTATTGCCCGACTCTATATCATTTTGGAAGTCGTTCTTAGTCTAAGGGCGATTCCTAGGGGTGTATTTATCACGGTGAGCTGGATCGACTTCCTCCCGCATGTATGAGCGACTCGGTCTTAATTGTGAGGCCAGCCCTGTTCAGCTTGCTTTCGCAATTTATTGAACTTGTTCATATCAGCAGTGACATAGACTGTTTCCCTACGCTACCATCGGGGAGAAGTTGGTATTAACAGATATGCTTATGATTATTACATTTTATTCATCCACTAAACTTTCAATGCTAAGACTCGTAGGTGGCTGGTGTATAGGCGTCCTCCCTGGCCGAGCGCTACGGTACGGCACTCGTTTTTCATGATGAAGCGGAGGAAACGTATATGCAAGATGAAATCACTGTAGATGAAATTAGCAAACGGCTCACAGGGGTTTCAAAACGGAGAATTACTCACCACCTCAATCCAACGAGCCATCCACTTCTCCACGGTATCCTTTGCCTCGTCCACAAGGCCCAGCTCAAGCATCAGCTGCACACTGCCACGAACTCCAGACTCAAGAGCCGATGCAATCCAGGCATGCGTGTATGAGGTATGTTCGCCGACAAAGATCATCTAGCACGTAGCAAACTGTCAGTAAGGCTCGTTTCATCGATGGTTAGGCTGGGGCAAGATATAGTGCAACGCACGTTGTTATGAGTCTTGAAGTATTCGGGCAGGTAAAGCTCGTGTTGGCCGATATGGGGGCTCGCCCACGATCCACTAGTCAGCGGGTCCAGCGTCCAACATCGTCTGTCATAGTTTCCGGTATACTGCTCGTTGACCACTTCGCCGTGGATCTCTGCCATGGCTTGGAGCACATATTGTACGTGCTCGTCCGCAGTGTGAGAAACCCACCGCTCGCCCCATTCGCCGTCGCTGATGTAGCTGCCTGTTTTGTGGGGTGAAAAAATCAGTCTCATTGTGAGCGTGCGCATGATGTCACATGGGGTTACTCACCAAGCATGGTTGCAGGGCCAGTGCCGTTGATGTTGTACGACGGGTAACAGATGGAGCCGATCCCGGGGATATCCGTCGACGTGGAGCAAGAACCATAAATGGGGTTGTCAAGGTGCTCCCAGAAGCGGGTCTCGAACTCCAGTGCTACCTTGCAGGCCTGTCCATAGGGCATGTTGTTGATGGCATTGGTCATGGTCGTTGACATGAGAGTCGGTAATCTCCAGTTTTTAACCACGCTGAAAGGTACGGCGACGACGGTGTAATCGTACGCCGCGTTCTGAAAGACAGTGTCGGTGTAATTATTACGCCACTGCAAGTTCACCTGCTGGGCCGCCTCGTCCCACTGGACTCGCTCGATCTTGCGTCCCATGGTCGTGTAATTGTCCACCAACGGGTGGAACGATGCGGGGATCCGACTCAGACCTCCGTCGACTGTGGCCCAGGTAGCTGCAGCAAAGTACACTCCCTCGTACAAGTCATCCCAGAAGGAAGCTGCGTAGGAGCCACCAGACACGACGTCGGTGTCGTTCAGGTTTGCTTTGAGGTAGTTGACCATGTAAGCGAACTCGGACCATTGGTCGCCTGGAAGGCCATCGAGGCCGCTTTCTACCATGCTGTCAGACAGACTCTATTCGGGGGGCTCGACCTTATACATTTGTGGCAGAGGACCGACTACTCACCAAGGAAGTCTCTGTGTGCTTTAAACATGTTCGTTGCCAGTTCCGCGTAGATGTCCTCCGAGGTGGTGATCTCCTGAATGTGGTCCTCCAGTGCTTGGGTCGATGGCAGGTTCTCTCTCTGAATAGTTAAGGAGGGGTCCTCGGCAATCTGTGAGATGGTTGGTGGCAACCCATTGGGCAGGGTAATTCCGTCATGGTAATACAAACCATTGGGGTTCGATTGGTACCAAGGTATGAAATCAACACTCCAGTTTGCCGCGTGGTTGTTGAGCTTGTTCATTTCCGCAGCTAACTGAAAGACAAGCTGGTGGTCGTTGATGTTGTAAGTCTCATTTTTCGACGACTTCCAAGTCTTGGGGAACCTCATAGGTCCCATCTCTAGAGAACACAGTCAGTCATTTGAGCGCTCCCATCCCACATGAGATAATTCTACTGACCTTGGTATGAATAGTCGAATGGCCCTCCAGACAGGTAGGTCGTGTGGACTCGACCACCCAGCCTTTCACCAGCCTCAATGATCTCCAAGTTCTGGAAGCCTGCTTGTCTCAAGGACAAGAAGGTCATGAGACCAGACATACCAGCACCAACAATGGCGATGTGCTTGCTCTTAGCCTCTTCGACGTCCACATAGCTGTGGTTCTTGGACTCCAGCAGCTCGACGCCATCAAACCATGGGCCCCAGGGATCAATACCTGTAGTCTTGTCCATGGGAATCGCTGAAGACCCACCATCGCCACCGCGCTTCTTCATAGCGGAGCGCCTGTGGAAATCCTCCAACCCCCTCTTCCGGCTGCGCTGGGACGCAAGTTGCTGGGCCTCGCTTCTGCCTACCAGAGTACCAGTACTGTCCCACGCCGAGATGCAGCCTCCAGAAACAGCATTTTCCGGTATCACCCACACAAGCCTGTGGCTGACGCCTGAGGGGGTATGACGTGCGATGACTTGGTGCGAGTTTGTCTGCCTCTGGTCAAGGCATGAGCCGTAGGTGAAGCCAACGGTACCCTCCACACGCTTGTCAAAGGAGACATGAACGTTCGCCGCACGCGAGTTGAGGTTCGTACGTGTCTCCAGGCGCACGGGGTAAGGTGAGATGGAGGCAGAGTACACGTTCTGAGCCAACGCCAACAAGGCGAGGCTAGTCTCTGGTCTCATGGTGCCGACAGTCTAGGGTAAAGGTTGAAAAGAGGCAGACTATCGATGAGAGGAGCAGTACAGAGGCTGGGGGTGTTCGGACGCGGGTATGGGACGTCTTAGAGCGACTTTATAAGTGGTACCGCAGCGAAGCTTTTTGCCATGAAGTTGCTATATCCTTTTCTCTCCCCACATCCGCTATCTATGGAGCAGGAAGTTTGCCACCACACCGCAACTTCATCGGCGTCATATTGGGGCGCCAGTATTTTCCGGCTATTGGCTCACATAATATGGCTGCCCCGACTGTAGTGGGCTGTAAGCAGCAGGCTGAGATATTACGATCCAAGATCATACGCACAAACAGCATAAGTGAGAGAGGGCTGAGTTCGTTCAACGATCAAGCTCTTGGATGACGCCCAGACTTTGAAAGCAGACATAAGAATCTCGCGTACAGATGTAATAGACGCTATACCAGAATCTCTAATGACTGCCTGAGTGACTGCGAGTGGGCGTTGGCGGCAATCCCGTCGGTCTCTCTGACCACCACCACACCACCACAAAGTTTCTTCTACATACGATTTCCGTGATAGGAAGGGCGGGCCGGAAGTCGGAAACCGCAAGTCGGACCAATATCCATAGATAGCTGACCACCACTGCCGGCATGACGTTGCACACGAAGAGGATCTCCAGCGAACCAGAGCCCCACAAATCCACGCGTTACCGGCAACATGGTATCGGGACCGATAGCAGACGAAAATGATAAGCACCAACCGGGCAGCCCGGGTGCGCACTTGCGCGAGAGCAAATCAGCCTGGGCATATGCTCTGCTAAGTATAGAGGATCCTCGGCATTTAGACGCCCGAGAGGATCCGAGTAAGATTATGGCTGTGGTAAGATTCAGTGGGTCTGATTGGTAACTGTGAAAAGGTGTTGCCAAGCGCAAAGCTCTGCCATATGTTGACTCAGATTTAAGGTCCAGTCAGATATGGATATGTTGTTTGTTTATGGCCGCTTCAAGTCTTGTATCCTTCTTTATGAAAACAGCCAAGAATTCTTTTCATACCCGTTCAATTGTCGGCTTCTAAGTTGTTACCCCGAGCAATTTCTACCACCGCCACTCGAACCCTCACGGAGAGGCCTTGGAACATCGCCCTCGGAATCGTTGATTCGATACTCGAGTTGGCAAATCCTGGCGGGACTGTCTGATGGAAAGATTACCTCAGACAGTGATACAGAAAAGTGCACGGGTCAGTCGCATGTGACTGGGAGGATGATGACATTGTGCCGGTAGTCATGGCCTGACAGGATGCCCTAGGGTATATTTCGTATTTGCTGGCTAACCATGCCAAAAACTAGTTATAGTATTGCTTCTAAGTTTGAATTCACAGGAGCCCAACAATGTGATTTTCTTTTCCCAGAGTGCAAGACCGTTGTTGAAGTGATCCACACAGGGAAGCGCAAAATGACTCCATCACGTGCCAAGGACGGGAATGATCATCGATTCAGCCCCGGCGATCCGCCAAGCAGAAACATACCCTCTCTCAACGGTGTCGCCTTGTAACACTACGGGTATTGGGCAGGGATCAGCTGCCCCTGGAATCTCCTAACCCTAGAATGTTTCCTCACTGTATCCACTCGCGCGTGCTCAGATATCAGCATACAAGATACAAAGTGGGTAAACATAATAACAGGTTGGAGTAGTCTAATTTGGCATGCATGCGAAAAACGATCGGAAGATTTCATGACATCCACAATTAGCTTGCGGCCCGTTAGACGAAGTGAAAATGTCAGGCGGCTGCCCAATGAGGTCTTGCGCCGCGCAGGTATGGATACGTGGTTGTTCAGGCGGAGGCGCTCCGTGTTTCAGACTCGACTGGTTCTTCCTGAAGTAGCACAACCGCAACAACTTCGTGTGTCAGACACCGTCTGGTAAGTTTAGCCTTCCGCACCGGCCGGGGGCGCAGTGTCTCGTGCTTGGTGAGAACGCTACCTTCGTCACTACCGGGCTCCGTCAACGTGTTCCCCTGAATCGGCAATACCTGCTGGTGGGTTCCCTCATCGGGGCGTAGTTTGTGAAATAATCCGACCCCTTCACCACCTGGCATCTTACCGGCCCAACTCAATTCGACCTACCACCTTTCTGTTTCTTCCCTCTCTTCATTATTCATCCCGAGACCTTTCGTCATCGGAGGCTCGAGTCTATTATTCTTTCCCCCCCTGTTATCAGTCTGGACTGTCTGTCGCTCTTTTCGTCCTGTTCTCAAAGTTGCTGGCAAACCCTCCTTTAATTATACACAAGCTCGCTAAGCCTGCAGACGAGCCAAAGCTTGTCGTGCCAAGTCACCTCACGCTGCGTCTGACACACCGCCCGCTACGCAATGTACTCAAGCTTCACCAAGACGGCGGTCTTCGCCACGCTGCTAGGCAATGCTGCTGCTGCCATAGATCCCATCGTGGCCAAGGTAAACCCACAATTTGATTTCCGGTCCCTTTGATCTGCATCTAATGACCTAGACAAACAGGGTCAATATTTCTTCTATTCTTCAAATGGCACACAATTCTTCATCAAGGGTGTAGCGTACCAACAAGGTATCGGCCCCGGCGGTACACCAGAGGGCAACCAGGCAACATTTATCGACTCGCTGGCGGACACGGCAAGCTGCACTCGTGATATCCCATTTCTGCAGGAGCTGGGCACCAACACGATCCGAGTCTACGCCATCGACCCCAAGGCCGACCACCAGGCGTGCATGACCGCCCTTGCCGACGCGGGCATCTACGTGATTGCGGACCTCAGCGTGCCGGGCGAGTCGGTCGAGCGTGACAATCCCAGCTGGAACACGGACCTGTTCGCGCGGTACCAGGGCGTGATCGACAACCTCGGCCAGTATCCGAACACGATCGGCTTCTTCGCCGGCAACGAGGTCACCAACAACAAGACCAACACCGCCGCGTCTGCGTTCATCAAGGCCGCCGTTCGTGATTCAAAGGCTTACATCAAGTCGAAGAACTTTGGTCGCTGGCTGGGTGTTGGCTATGCTACCAACGACGATGCGGAGACCAGAGATAACCTGGCCAACTACTTCAACTGCGGTCAGGATCAGGCCAGCGCTGTTGACTTCTGGGGGTACAACATCTACGAGTGGTGTGGACAGAGCACGTTCCAGTCGAGTGGATACGAGGAGCGAACCCAGGCGTTTGCAAACTACTCGGTTCCGGCCTTCTTCTCCGAGTATGGATGCAACAACCCCGGCGGAGGCGAGTCGAGAATCTGGCAGGAGACTGGAGTGCTGTACAGCGACCAGATGAACAAGGTTTGGAGCGGAGGCATGGTCTACGAGTTCTTCCAGGAGCAGAACGACTTTGGTAGGTCGACTTGGTTCTCTTTGAATGACACGAGACAGGTAGAGGAGAAAGCATGAGAACTAACCTAACCACCCACCCAACCAGGTCTTGTTGACCTGTCCGGCACGACCGTCACGCCCCGCAAGGACTTCCAGGCCCTGGCGACCGCCATCAAGGCCACCGCATCCGACACAGCTAACCCCAGCATCTCGATGAACTCGTACACGGCGACTAACGTGCCGCGCTCGTGCCCAGCCGTGACGAAGGGCCTGTGGGAGGCGGCCGAGGCCCTCCCGCCGACGCCCAACGCGACGCTGTGCGAGAACATGGTAGCCTCGTCTGCGTGCGTGCCCACCGAGGCGACGACAGGCGACGCCGAGAAGATCGGGGCCCTGTTCGGCACCATCTGCGGCATGGACCAGAAGGCGTGCGCGGGCATCACGTCGGACGCCGCGACGGGCAAATATGGCGACTTCGTCATGTGCAACCCGGTCCAGCAGCTCACGCACGCCCTCAACCAGTACTACGCCAACCAGAAGAAGGCGAGCACGGCATGCGACTTTGCCGGCCAGGCCAAGGTCGTCACGCCCACCGAGGCGGCCATCACGCCCAGCTCCGGGTCCTCGTCGGGGTCGAGCGGCGGCTCTGGGTCTTCTTCTTCGTCGTCGGGCAGCGGAAGTAGCGGTTCCGGCTCGGTAAGTGGTTCCAGTGCGAGCCCCAGCAGCCCAAGCACCAGTGCGAGCAACTCCACCGCCCCTGCGTCTGCTTCTGGTTCTTCGTCGTCTGAGTCTGGCTCCTCTTCTCAGCAGGGTGGTACGTCCGCCGCCGGCGGGTCTGCGTCGTCCAACGGCACGGTCAGTGCTGGTGGCAGCAGCGCCGGCGGCAAGTCTCAGGGAGGCAGCGATACCACATCTGAGGAGAAGGGTGGCTCTGGCTCTTCGTCTTCTGCAGCCCCTTCGTCTGCGGTCAGTTCCTCTGCGGCCCCTGCTTCGTCAACTGCCTCATCATCTTCCTCTGCGAATGATATTTCTGCGGGTGCTTCTGATGCTTCTGATGCTTCTGCTCCCTCCTCCGATGCTTCTAACTCCAACGCTGCCTCTTCCGACACTGCTCCTGACAATGCCTCTCCTGCTGTTGGCGATGATTCTTCTGCTGCGACCCCTGCCTCTGTCGTTTCTAGCGCGAGCGAGAGTGCCTCTCAGGGATCTAACAGTGCCACCGTTGTGCAGGCTTCGAGCGTGGGCCGCATCTCCACCGCGGGGAACACCGGCCTGCTTCTGGCTGCTGTTGCAGTCATCGCATCGACTCTGCTATAGGGAACACCTGAAGGGAAAACGGGAGGACATTTTGGACCGGTAGAAATTTTGAGCATCTGGGATGGGCGTTACATAGAAACCGAGGCTAGACCTTGATGAACACCATTAATTAAATGCATTACAACACTGCATGCATGCCCGAGATTCTCGCGGGCTTGTTCACCGACCTGGGTATCCTGCCTCCAGATGTCTGCTTGTGGTAAACGAATCACATTTTAACCCGGATGTCCATTGTGATCCATCCTCGACCTGCACCGCGAGTCTGTTTTACACGTTCCATGCCAGTCGGCACAATTAAACCTATGCGACGTACTGCAATGGACCAAAACTCAATCCGTATCACTCATGGTATCCTCGTGTCTCGAGCCTGAGATTATGGCGCGGCCGCTGCTCTATATCTCACGAGAAACAGCGTACTTGCTTCTCTTCCGCAGCAGATGGCCCCACTTATACAGAGCATGAGGCACGGGAACCAGGACGCACGAGATGCACGCCAGGATCGTCAGCGTGTAGTGGACGCCCATGTTGGCGTAGAATGGGATACCCACGATCGTCATCCCGCCGGCAGCCATGTAACGCACAAGGGTGGCGAAGGTGAGGGCCGACGCCGAGAACGTCTCATACGAGTCGATGACGTACATGTAGGCGCAGATGAAAATCCCCATCACGCCGAAGCCAAACAGCGCGACAGCGAGGATGGGTGACCAGATGCTGATGTTGGGGCTCGCCGTCCAGCCCATCCAGAAGAGCGAGATGGGGATGCTCACAGCCGGACCGAGCATGGCGTACCACAGCCGGATCTCTGGGTTGAATTGCTGGCCTTCTCCGCGGGACTCGGCCTTCTTAACCTGCTTTATCGTCATTCGGTAGACGATCGGTACGAGGAGGAAGGCGAACTGGAGGCCGACGAACATCGAGATGAAGATGATGTTGCTGAGGCCTTGGGAGATCTCGTAGGTGTACTCGAAGATGTACGGCCATCCGATGAGGAATGTGAAAAGCACAATGTAAACCACCGACAGGTACAATGTCATGGCAAGAATGATTGGTTCAGTGAACATGAGAAACGGCCTCGTCATGCTGACCTTGAGCCGACTGAACAAGGTGGCCTTGATAATCTCATGCTCCGACCGGAACCGATCGTCCCCAGTCACCTGCCGCAGGTGCTTCGCCTTCCACCGCAACAGCAACGGCGCATACGTCTCAGGCATGAGCAGGAAGACCCAGCAGACCACCAGCCCAGACAGGATCAGCATGGTCCACTCGGTCCACCGCCAGCTCACGCTCGTGGACGGCCCGATATAGGCACCCATGACCGCGCCCAGCATGGGCCCACCAAACGCAGCGATCGCATAGAGCGGGAAGGCCCACGTCTTCTCGACGCTGTCGAACATGTCGGACACGCTGCCGCCCGAGCAGACGAGCGGCGTCGACGCCGAGCAGCCTGCAAAGAAGCGGAAGACGATCTGCGCCCCGAAGTTGGGCGCCAGGCCGGACGCCATGATCCACACCATGAAGACGGCCATTGACCCCGAGTAAACGGCGTTACGACCAAAGGTCTCGGAGAAGGGACCGGCCACCAGGCTGCCCATGCCCATGCCGACCAGGTACAAGCCGGTAGCGAGCGACTCGGCGACCTCGCTCACGCCGAGGGATTCGGCGGCTTGCGGGAGGACGGTGGCATCGATCCCCGAGGCTGCGCCGACTGCAGCGGCGATGAGGGAGATTTGGAGGGTGCAACTTACGCGGCGGGCGTACTAATGGTCCCGAAGTTAGCCATCAAGGATTGAGAAACTAAGGGGAAGGGGGTGGGTTTGTGTCTGCCTGCGGATGGGTTGACTTATATGCTACATGCAGTTGGTGTCATAAAAGGCATGGCACCAAAGGGAATTTGTAGTTTCATATCCTCATCGGGCATAAAGCAACTCCAGTCATTGCTTACCGTCCAATTGCGCGGGTTCAGAGGATCATCAGGACCCTCCCACCCGACCACAAAAACCTTGCTGCCCTTGCCCTCATGCGTGCGGCGGTCTCTCGCATGCACGCCCGTGAGTGAGTGGCCCAGGGCCGCGCGTGCGGTGTACTGCGTGGCAGCCGTGGGCACACGCTGCGCAGGATTCGAAAGCTCATCTGAGACTTGTTCCGAGTTCGTGCTGCTGCTGCTCATCGAGGGCCGGGCGGCAGACTCGGCCGACGTGCGCCGGTGACGGTGCGGCTCGGCATCATCGTAAGCGGCCTTCTCCGGGTCGGTCTTTTCGTTGTCCCTGAGCGTCGCTGTCGCTGTCGCTGTCGCTGTCGCTGTCTCTGCTGCTGGCTCGCTATCTTCGGCGGCGTCGATGGTCCGCAGTCGTGCCTTGTCCTTGTCCCGCTCCAACTGCGCCTTTACTGCGCTCAACAGGTGTCTAGATTGCCGGAAAGATTGCATTGCTGCTTACCGGGGCCTGATTGTAGGTCTTCCGATCCGGGGATTCAGGAAGACTTTTATCGCGAGGGCTTTTGGGGGTCGTTTCTTATCAAATGTTCTCCAACGTCGACAAGCGAGGCGGCTTGGGCGACGTTTTATTCTGTGGAGACGGACCCGTATCGTCCAACAGCGGTCTCGGAGCGGTGAACAAGGGGAACCGCAAAGACGGGGTGGATGGCGACCGTTCGCCGGTTTACTTCGACGACACAGATTTACCACAAGGCGGAATTACTAATTTGGTATTTAGTGCATCAAAGCAAAGTCCTAGCTTTTTCCAAATCCCGTCCGGGAAAAGACCGGCAATAAGAATGGCGAGGTGACGAGTATATGGACCCGCTATGATCTCAACGGCATTGTTTGGCACGGATACTTGGCCTTTGGTCTCTTGCTACGTACACCTTTTTGAGTACCACTCTATGTGCCATTCGGCATAAGCATACATATTAGCGGGCCAGTCGCGAAATCGCCGCAGGCCATGTGAAAAGGCAGTATAATTCTAGAGTCATGATCTTGCATCAGGTACCTAGGTAGACAGGCTTTGAGATACACACAGTGTCACACGGAAGTTCCCGCGGCGAACATACCTAAGTAAGAGCTCCACATGTAAGGCTCACATCGCAATGGCAGTTCTCATCGTTTGTCTTTCGCCTCTTGTTGCCTGATCTTTCCCATTCATAGTCAAATCCCATGTCCATCTTTCAAACTCGCTCCGGTGTGGCTTGGCCCACGGGAAAAGTATCTGCCACCTGGATCCCTGTCCTGACGCGTATCCTCCTCATTATCCGAGCTTCTAATTTGGCCCATATCTTTGCTTCGTCATCGTCGTCATCTGAATGGAGAGAGTGTTTCTTTTGGGCCTTTTTGTCGAACATCTGCCAAAACCCAAAGACTGCTAGTGTGAGAGGCGTCGACAAGACGAAGTATATCCACAAGCTTCGCGACACATGTCCATCCAAATCTGTTGTGGAAACGTCAGCCTTTTTGCAAGTTCTGGACCGTGGGACATGGCGCATAGACCTCATTGAGTGGAGACACCATCACGTACCCTTGCTGAAGTCAAAGAATGGCATGCTGAAAAGAGAGGATATGAAGGCTCCCGGCAGGAAGAATGAACCGAGCAATGTCAAAGTCTTCATGGATGCGCTGTCGCGCCCGCTGCTATACGCCAATCGTTGTTGTTGAATGGCAATATGTAAATTCAGTCTCGATTCTCTCTGACTGATAATATTGTGTACCTTGTCATCATAGTCAGCTAACAACATCGGAGATCAGGGTTCTTCCCTAGTTGACGCTGCGAGGCAGTCTGACCACTTCCCGAAGAATCCCTAGTCTTTCCAATGTGACATGAGCATAATTCTCAATACCCTGAAGCTTCACAGTCAAGAAGTTGAGCCTCTCTAGCAGCGTCTTGTGTAGCTTTGTGAGTTCCGGGCTTTTCTTCTCGGCCGGTAAGTGGTCCCAGAAATGATTTGTCGCTTCCTTGACGTGATCAACGACATTCTGCCACGCCTGGGACCTTTTCTGTAGCACCTCAGTCTGACAATCGGCGATCTTATGGCTGAGTGTGTCTAGTTCTTGGTCTGCCGGGCTCGCGTAGTGCGCTGCAGGGGCCACTGTGTACCGACCGATCAAGGCATGGTCTAACTTTCGAAGCTCTGCTCTCAGGTCTCGCTGCTTCTTGTCATTGCTGGATGATAGTTCCTGGCACAACGTGAGAATTGGCAGCAGTAGGGGGTGGGAGACAGGCCTGCCACAAAGAAAGAGATCGTCGAGGACCTTCTTCAAGGTTTTGTGATCCTTGAGCTGCTCTTTCCCCTTCTCTGTGACCTTTTCCCCTTTGCCCCTTACGTAGCCAGACGTTATGCCAGTGCCGAAAGAGTATGACAGTACCATTTCCCAGCCTCTTGAAGTACCTTTCCATTCCACGTCGGATTTTCGAAATATGAACTCTGCGATCAGTCAGACATAGCATATCTGAAATAAGTCTGCATCTTTATTTTGACTCTCTACATGATGAGTAAGTTGATCAGGTAACAAATGTCAACTTACCGAGATTATCTCCGACATGTGCCCACCAAAAACAAGGCCCAACCGCGCTGGAGGAGTCGATGCAACGAAAGGATAACTGGAACTCTCTTATCAGGGCTTTATACGATGGTATATCAAGCGATATAACCCCAGGAGCGAATGCTTCATCATCCTTAGCTCTCGTTTGGAGTCTGGAAACGCACAGCATTAGTCAACCGCAAACCAGTAAGAAGGGACAGAAATGCTTGCATTAGCCTGATCCCATCCCGAAGAATGACACCCTCTGCTAATTCTCGTGGCGCGAAAGGAGTCTATGTCGTACAAGCTCAGCGGTGTCCCACGATCCCCCTCGCCTGTATGTGAAAGCTGGCGCTCTGGTGCTGTGGTCGTACCTCACGCTTCAAAAAGCTCATGAAAGCATCAGTCGTTCTTAGTTCGGATAGTTTCTCGGCTGTACTAATCGCCGAGTTCTAATGAGCGATGAAGGGAGTCAGCACAAGAGCCTGGTCGTTCCGCTCCGGACCGGCGGTGGGGATGTGATGTCTGTACCGAATAGTTAAGAATTTCAAGGCCAGTCACATCCTCCGTCTTCGCCCTGCAAGCCTCAATCTGCCCCTGAAATAGTAACTGGTCCATGGCAGGCGGTTTTTTGTCTTCGAAAGTGTTGGGGATTACAGTGAAGAATTGCCTCAGCCATTCCTCTGCCCCTCCTTTGTCCGCTTACTCACCATGTGATACGAATATGCATGAAGAAATGCATGCCCCCACACTCGATGCCATAATTGGCTAGGTTGGACTTGTTGCCGTTCGCAATTGGCAACTTCAGGCAAATATCATTTGCCCATAAATCACAAAAGTTCAAACATCACGTACATATATCTGGAGTTCACAATAGACTGACTACATATATGTATCTAGGTAGTTATGACTGAGCAATATCCTTAGCTGAGACAGAATATTCCCGAGCATGTACAACAAACAAGTAACTGCATTTGACATTAATGAACGACTTCACTCATTTCCATTCCGCAGTACTTACCAGCCCGATCTCAAATGCACCGCCCCTTCAAGCTTAGGCAGCTAGCTTGATCTTCACCACAGTTCCATCAACCGGCCTTGCGGTCATCCTACGGGTCTAAGATTGAGTAAAAGTGTCAGAAAACAATTTATCTCATGCGGCGTGTGAAAATTGGGGAGGGGGGACTGAAACCTACGTTGTACAGCTGCGACTTGACCTTGAACTGGCCATTCTCATCAAGCACAGGAAGACCATTGTCGCCAAAGTCGGTCTCACCCAGGCCTACCTTGACGAAATCATACTTCCGCGCCACGATGCTGATGATGATCCGGGACTCCAAGTTCGCAAGTTCAGAACCGATACAATTTCTTGGTCCCCTCTCGAACGGCCGCCAAGCGCTTGCCGGAATATTCTTACCGGCCTCGCCGAGCCACCGCTCGGGTACCCAGACATCTGCCGTATCTCCGAACACGGATGGTTCACGCTGTATGACGCTGTGACACAAGTACATAATAGTCCCGTCGAGGTTGTACTCTTCGCCGGTTGGGGCGCGGACCGCGAAGCCTGATCCCGGGGGTGTCATGCGGGTGCTGCCAGCCGGGGGATGCAGGCGAAGCGTCTCTCTGATCACGGCGTTGATATAGTGCAGGCGCGGGAAGATTTCCTCGCCGCTTTGTGCAAAGCTTGCGCACATGGAGAGGGGGTCGACTTCGTGTGGCCCGAATATCTCATCCAGCTCGTCGCGGACAGCCTTGAGAGCGCGCGGGGTGCGGCTCAACTCATACAATGCCCACTGCAGCATGCTAGTGGTCGTGTCGTGCCCAGCGAAGAGGAAGTTGCGGACTTGATCTGACGTTTCTGATAGGAGCTGAGGGGTGAGGGCATCGGTGTCTTGGAAGCTGAGGGCTGCAATACTCCGAGATCGGTTGCCTTTTGCTTCCTCTTTGAGCTCAGTGTATCTTTGCCGTATAGTGTCTTGGACCAGCACCTCGATACGCTTGGCAACTCGGTATCGTCTCAGTGTGGTCAAGGGAACAATCCACCAAGGAAGGTTGTTCTTGTCGTCGGCGTATGTATCCATCAGTTCCGCGAATAGTCGAGGGAGCTCTCCTTGCTTCGAAATGTCCATCTGTTGAGAGTTGAGGTCCGCATGCAGCACAGCGGCGCCAATCACATCAAACGTCAGGTTCGAAATCAGCTTCTCTAGAGAGACCTCTTCTCCTGAGATGGCGAATTGGTCCAGATATTTCAAGAAAGGGACCATACTCTCCAGAACAAGTGGCAGTAGTGCCCACAAATGTTGAGTTGTGAAACCTGGGTTGTATTTCTTGCGGAGATCCTTCCACTCTTGACCCTGTATGAGCTCTGTCAGTGAGTGATATGACCAAATGGAGACATTGACACAAAGAGCATGAAGCCTTACCTCCAAACTCAAAATGGCGCGTTTCCCTATAATGGGGATCATATGGGTCCAGGTTGGTGACTTCGGCGTGCTCAGAGGGAACAACTGACACGGCTTCGATATCTGTTCTGCGATGCTGTGGCTAGGGACTAGAACCATAGGAGGGTTGACAGGCCGCAGGTCTACGAGCATGACGGGGGGACGACCAATGGATATCCACATCTCTTCAAAGATTTTATCTATGTTTCCCGGTTAGTCAGGTTTCGTACAACGCGACTCTAGTAGTCCAAATGTTGCCATCCTACAGCATACCTGGGTGACGGTCGTGTGTTCCCCGGCTCATAAACTCTCCGAATATTTTGAGGTGGCCCCAGAGAAGATGGTTCGGTAACTGCGGAATATGTGCATACTGTCTACCGCGCAGGTATCTCAACCGACTGTAGAGATATGAAGCCAGTAGCACACCGGCCGCAATCACAAGTTGTTTGAGCATCTTGCTGTGCGACTGCTTGGCTAATTAGTGGATTGTTCACGGTGGTGGGCATTGATTTCCAGCTCAGCCGCAAAGAAGATGTATGTGTGTGTTGAGTTTTAAATAGATGTCTGGGCTTGGGAGTGAAGACGAAGTTAAGCAAGCCAGTATCGGCCTGACCAGGATGAGATAAATCTACAGGGGAAAGGACTATGAACGTTCTGATACTGGATGGGTTCTCCCCGTGTAGACTGATCGGTTATAATGGCGGCGAAAGGGTGATTTTCTATGCAGCCATTCGCTACCGGTCGATGCAGGACAAGTGATATAGTGGAGCGTGTGAGCTATTCGGGTGTTGGATTATGATTGGAGCGTGGCAGGAGCAAACTCGAAGGAAGACCCGCGCTACTGTCCACGTCGTCATCGATCGAGTAAGCAAAAGATCTGTGGCTTGTCGAAACCGCGCAGGAGCACTCTCAGAATTGTAAAATGATACTGAAAAGTGATCTCGGTCGCCTCGGCGGATCGCTGGATTGCAATATGAGTTTGGGGACTGACACCCCCTGACTGGCGGCCCGCCCCTCTGCACATACATAAGTACCTGTGTTGGTCCTCTTAAATCTGTGTTTTCTAGGGGCTTGCTAGGGCGAAGGGGACGAGCCCTGTCTGCCAGATCAGCAAATCCTGGCATTCTACACTGACTGATCCTTGCAGACCCGATGAATGCCAACAACTAGCGGGCTGTTGGTAGTACCCAAATAAGCAGCAGCGCAAGGGGCTAGTACGGAAACACTCTAGCAACCTGTTTATCTGGGATTTAGGGTTCAAGTTAGGGCGACTTCAGTGCAACGACGTAGAATTATGGCCAAAGATGGACGGCCAGCTCCGCACTGTGAATTCCAGTGACGAACAAGGGTAAAGCGTGTGCAGCTCCACTGCTTGGGTACCAGAAGGCTGGAACAGCCAACCTTGACCACGGGAGTGTTTCCCCGATCCTAGCCCAGGTTGGGGCTAAGCCGGAGTGGGTTCCTCGTCCGAGATGTTGGTAGCCTTACGGCAAACCAACAACCAACATTGAACGGCGGCGCAGACCTAATAGTCGGGTGGCTGGGGCCACCCAAACTAGCAAATCGAGTGTTCAGGACCCATCCGAGGTAACGTCAAAGCTGGATACAAATACCTAGGAATTGAACATTGCAACGCTCGGGACTGGAAGTTGTCCGAAAAGGACTAATGGCCGGCGTCGCAATGGTAATTATTACGTGAGCACATTAGGACATTAGAACATATGTGGCGCCTTCATACAGTGGTAAACACTGAAGACCTAGCTTCTAAAAAATTATAGTGCCAATAACATTACAGAGACAATACAGTACGTGGGCACGTGGCCTCAGTCTCATGCCGCACTAACGTCAAACATGATCTGAGATTCTTGGTTCCAGTTTTGAGTCGCTCTCAGCCTAACATTCGTAAGTGGTTGCATTGGCTGCGGCTCCGTCCCTCACATGGGCGTGGTAGTCCACCTCTTCGGCGTATTCGAGGTCGTCATACTCGGAAATCCTATAGATTCTGAGACTTCTTTCCTTCTTTGGCGACTTAATCAGGTGCACTTTTTGAAGGAAGGCTCGCAGCCCTGTGAGAAGACTTTTGAGTTTGCTAGGCGGCATATTCATCTTTTCTGTGGAGGAAGCAGACGCGGTTGCGTCGCTGTTGTATTCTTTTTCACGGCTTGATCGGAGGTGTTGTAGAAGAGATAATAGGGTTCGGTTCTTTTTCAAGGAAGTGATCAACGCGGGCAGAGCTGGTACGGAGCCGCAGATGTGTCCCACCGTGATCTCCACAACGCTAGCAGACAGTCAGTTGGCGAACCCCTCCTGACATGTCTTGTGGCAAAGCCATACACATGGCGCGGATCATCAAGGAAGCGACTCAACACGGTACACTTACGAAAATGTATTCGGCATGGTGTTGGCCCATGTAAAGTCCGGATCGCCACGCTCCCTGAACCTGTAAACACAACTAATGATAGAACTTGTGCAAGCCCTGCGTCATGTGAGTAGGCTGCCAAACAAAATCTTCCCAAAGGCAGTGTTCAGGACGAGAAGCTGGCAACTTACAGCAGACCGGTGAGGAAAATACAGACCAGGGTGATCTTTCTTTTCAGCGGCAGATGGAGCCGAATGACCTGAGACAATGGAATAAAGAAGATGACAAAGTCGGATATAACACCGAAAACGCCTCTGACAACGGACACTTCTAGTCCGAAGTTTCCGTATCTCATTTGAGCCGCTGGCCACCCTTCACCCGGCCGAGGAATCCCCACCGCGAGCTCAGCGATGATGGTCGCCACATAGAAAGAGGTCACTGCGCCAATAGATACGTAGATAAATATCTTCACCAGCTGAACGGGCTTGAACATGCGCAGGTACATGAACAGAAGTGATAATTTGACAAGCATAATACTGATTGCAGACATGAGCACGAACGTGAAGTTGATCTGTAAGTAATTACTTGTTAATGGATGCCGCAGTAATAATGTGACACTTCGCGGGGTGCATTACCTGTAGGTAAGAATTTGTCAAAACACTAATGGGGACGTCCCAGAGATGTCTTCCATTAGGCGCATCGAGCACTATTCAGGTTAGACAAGCTCTGTTTTAGTTAAGCTTTTGGGGATAAGTTTTAAGCATACAAGAAAGTTGGATACCAAAGTAAGCAGTGGTAGTCGCCTGCTAACGGCTTAGATGACCGCACTCCAGCGACACCCGAAATATAACCAGATTCACTTACTGCTGCGAGCACATGGAGAGCTTGCGAGCACAAGTTAGCAATCACTAGGTACAATTGTCGGGTTGTAGTATGTTACTCACAATCATCGACGCCATAGCTGCGAGTGACCAAAACTCGACTGCACAATCGCAACGCGAGGAAGACGATCATGAGCACGAAGAACACGAGTCCCACGTCTCTCGTTATGTATGCGTTAGAAATGGGATTCTCAAAATTCGGGACCACGCCTTCTGGCGGCATCATGACGGGTGTTGTGTTTGGGTCCATGAGAGCAGAATCCATATTTGTTGCTAATAATTGTGCGGTGCGCACTGGTTTCCGCGTTAGTGGAGAGGATTTGTGGGTAATCAAGCGGAAGGAGTTGACACATGAACTCCCGAGGTCGGCAAGAAAAACGACGTGGACAAAAGACTAGCGGTTTCTGAACAACAGTTTGAAGTGTTGAGTTGGAAACATTGAAGACTTTCCAAGTCCTACGAGACAAATGAAAGCTAAATTGTAAGAACGCCAGTTGGTTTTACCTTCATCCATCCATTTGAACGTTTCACTAGTAGTGGGCACATCCGAGTCAATATAAAAACGAAGTGCAGCCAACATGCATAATCTAAGCGCTGATGTTACTGTACCTCAAGTCCAGCCCCACAGGAGTGGGTTCACGGGCTCATCAAGGTTCAAAAAAAGATCACACTTGAGGAGAAATAGATACCAGGAGACTAGGGAAACTAGACCTGTTTGAATGCAAAGAATAAAGATCCATCTCTGGGGTGCGCAGCCAGGAAACAAAAGCGAGGTATTTTGGGTTTCCAGGGCAGCATAGGTACGGTGGGCATAGCAGCATCAGCATCTGTGTGATTTGATGTGTTTAGGTAACCGCGCAGATCCTCACAGAATGGCCGGTGGGTGACCTGGGGCGGGGCGACATGGGGAACCGAGGTCTACGGCTGATTACAATGTGGACCCTCGTAGGTGGTTTCTTGTGTCTTGTGGGTTGAAATGAGTGCTAAGCTAGGTCTGCAAACGAGCCCAAATAGCCCAGATTGGGTGACTGCCGGGATCCACTGTGAGAGGATTGTTGGGTGATCCGTGCGTCCATCACAATGGGTGAGGACTTGTCTGCTTGAAGGCGCGGTTGCTATCTGGAGCACCGGGTACTTACGGGGCAGGTACAGTAAATAAGTTATGAAATTACAACTAACTTTACCGTTAAATGCTATGTTAGCTAGGAATGTTTAAAAAAAAGAAACTTATATAAAACTTAAATAAAGTAATAGTATAATATAAAATTACTTTATAAATTATTATAATAATAAAACTTTTTATAAAATAAATAATTAAAAATATAAATATAAACTTAAAAAAAAATAATAAAGCTAAGTATATTTAAATAGAGAAAACTATCACATACTATCTTATATAGTTTATTAGATAATGTGTATAAATCCTATTTTACATAACCCTAGGGTAAGAAAAGGCTTTCAGTGAACTAAGCACTTTTTCTTGCCGTTGCCCAATCTTCTCCCCCCTGCGGTATCCTACATCCGCGGCAGTAACATTTACTGACATTCATGAACTCCGAATTTCCATTTACCAGCTCTTCACCAATATACTCAAAAAGCTCCCTTGGAGGGAGACAATTCCTAAGGACCCAGCATAATGACTCCTCGAACAGAGTGTGAAGTGAGGGCGCGCGACCCTCCTCCCAAACCATAGCCCAGCTTGCTGCTGCGCCGTCTCGCGCAAGCACCAGGCCTGAAGAAGGAATGAAAAAGTAGTGTTAGTACTGTTGGTTGTCGGGTCCTGAAAGTGACGATCTGCGGCCGTCTGTCCGCCAGGTGTGAAGGAGAAGACCGTGAGACTCACTCAATAACTGAACCACATCATCGGCATACTGCCACATGTGAGTCTTATCGACAGAAGCGTCATTTCCCTGTACCGAGAGGTGCTCGTCATCTCCAGGCGGCGCACACGCAACCACGCTCTGCTCGACCCGGCACTCCCTCAAGTTGACGCGAGGGTAGAACCTCGGCGCGTCAGGCGACGCTGCTGCAATCAGCACCTTGAATGCGCCATCTACGCTGTCATCATGGGCTCCGTAGATCTTTCTTAACTGGGTCAAGTGTGCGGACGCAGCCGCGATGGTCGTGAACAAACCCGAGCACTCGACAACGTGGAAAGCGCCGAGGCTGCCCCATCCCAGAATGGAGGGGTCATCCTGCGCGCTAAACTGCGCCGTGATAGTCTTTCCCGTGGCAGTGTCGTGGATCAGAAGTCTGTTGGCTGCAGATTCCGCGTGGATTTCGAGGCTGGCACCGGGGGCGAGCCGGCCTTGAGAGTGCGCTTCCTGGAGGAGGGTTGCCTGGGGAAGAGCTGTGAGAACGCTGATAATACGTGGCTCGGCAAGGAGAGAGAAGGGGGTTGCGGGGTTAGACCTACTGCTCGGGCCGCGTCCACGTGAGGGTCGTTGACGGCGACAATGTTGATGTAGGGCGTGTTATAGCTAAATTTCCGAGACGTGAGCAGCTTCAAGATAGTCGGGGGTGGAGTTGTACGCACGCCTTGCAGAAGACTGATCGGCCAAGACGGCCAAATCCATTGATCCCAACCTAAATATTGTGAGAACACAGAACACATCAGAAAATTTGGAAGGTTGCAGGGGAAAGAGAGAGGGAGGAGAGAGGGGGACTCATACCCGGAACTCATGGCCCAGCTCATCGAGAACCTTCGGGGGGCTTCGGGGGAGATCAATCACAGTCGTGGATGGGAAGCGGTTCAGATAATCGGTCGGATCATCTCCCGGAAATTCCTCTCCAGCAGATTGATCCTGCATGGCCGTGTTCAAGTCGATGGCAGTGGTTGATTTTGGTGTGTGGCAAGAGTGACTAACTGACTAGACGCGACAAGAGCAAGTGAACGGTGGCGGTTTTGGGGACATAAATACAATGGGATCATCCGCTGTTGGGTCATCCCTTGTATGCCTACACGGTAAGCTTGGCGCCTGCTATTACCACAGCAGCCTGTCAAATACCTGGCTGGGTAAGCACTAAGGTAACCTACCTAGGTACAGTTAGCGTGAGGAAGGAGTCACGGCCGTCCTTTAACACGAGGTCACTTATGGACTATCGAGTATTTGTGTTCTTCATCACGTATTGAATTCTCTCTGCACTATTATTGGTATTGTGTTTTCAAACGTTGGATCCTGTGTGTTTACCACTACATCCATGAATAAAGGCGCCGAACACAGTTTTATATGTATGGATTAGAAACGACAGCGGTCCTTCTTTACTCCCATTATCACTATCTTGGTCTTTCTCGTCTTTCTACCCAAGTACATAGGCATACTTGCACTTGGGAGAAGCACACAGATACCACGAGACACCATGTTGTCCATTGTCTGGCTCTCAGCCGCTTTATTCATCGACCTTGGGCCCTCGCACGTCTCGGCTCAGAATGAGAACAGCAGCGTTGCCGCTGTCGACTTCAGCGACGCCGTGGCCCAAAAGGCCTCGGTGTCGGCCCAACTACAGCTTGCCAACACGAGCAACCCCATCCCGCTGCCCGCCGAGAACCCAGGCGACATACCCAACTACGACAGCCTGCTCGCCCTGGCGGGGGCCTGGCCGCCTCTCCCGGTAACGGTCGGTGAGGTCGACGTGGGCCAGGTCGTGGCCACCTGGGCAACCTGACGCCGCCGAGTCACCCTGAGACCAACACCGACCCCGGCAGCAACATCAAGCGGCAGGGCGACTCGTTGCGGGTCTTGGTCTTAGGTGACTCCATGACGCACGGCAGTGAGGGTGGCTATACCTGGCGCTACCGCATGCACGAGTGGTTTCCGTCCCAGGGCATTCCGTATCAGTTTGTTGGGCCTTATGCTGGCACTATCAACCCGCATGAGCCCGCGCCGCCGGGGAAGCCACTCCTTTACAATGCTGTGGCGCCGAACCCGCCGCCCAAGTGGGTGGTGGTTATGCTGCGGGCGTGGGGGGCACGCCTATGTGAGTTTCTATTTTATTATTTTCTGTCAAGTTCCGGGATACTTTCTTTTCCTCCTTTGTCTCGCCGTAGTCGTATTATTTTGCGCCAGCACAACATACGTCGGCTGCGAAATGTTTACTTACACCATATGACACAGGCCTCACTTTGTTGTCAGTGGCCGTGCCGCTGCTACGGACCAGAGTGTGATCCGTGATGTGATTGCGAGCTATCCAGCGGATCTGATGTTGATTGACCTGGGCTTCAATGACCTGGGCTGGTTCTACAGTGATCCATGATGGGTTGATCAACAGCATGCGCAACTTGATAAACAACGCGCGCCGCGCTAACCCAAACATGAAGTTTGTGGTTGCGAAAGTTGGTACGTAAAAAACTTCTAGATATGTAGGAAACAAAGGTCCATATTTACTGACGTGAGCAAAGTCCATCGCACATACATTGGAGGTCGTCCTGATCTCGTCCTGATGACAGACCGCTACAACTCGATGTTGAAGCAAGCTGTTGGTGGATGGAGCACGCCCTCGTCCCCAGTAAGTTGATTCCAGACCTCATTAGCCATGATGCCGCAGAATGTCTCCGAGCTGACTCAATCTTCCACAGGTTGTCTGGGTTCCAGTTCGTGAAGAGTGCGACTGCGGGCCGCAATACTCGGAACAGTGTCCTGCATCGTATGATGGGCTGCATCCCAACGAGCTTGGAGAGTATCAGATCGCTCGAGGCTTTACAGGCGGTCTATTCAGTGGTTTAGGAATAGGCAAGGCGCTGCTTGAAGTTCCAGGAGCTATTCCAGCTCGCCCACTGCCAGTGCCGTCGAATTTCCAGATTGCCACGTCGGATCTGGGCGCCACGGCCACCTGGGACAAAGGTAAATATAACTTATCAATCCCCTCAGCCTGAAACTTTCAAGCTCAGATGCTAGAGCTATCGCTGCCATTCTGGGACGCGGATAATGACGATCATGATCGCTGACGCTCTCGGACATATACAGTCTACGGCGCTTATGAGTACGACGTCGACTACAACATCAACGGTGGCGCCCCGTTCAGCTTCTCGCCCGGGTCCGTGAAAAGCAACCGCTGGGACACACGATGGGCCGGTGATGGCTGGACATACCAAGTCCGTGTCCGGGCCGCGGCGGGGAACCGTAAAGGAGACTGGACCGGATGGCTGACGGCCACGGCGCACCCCAAGACGGCCGCCGCCGGGACAGACATGAATGTCAAGACACATACAACTGCGGACAGCAATGATATTACCTGGAACCCCGCCGCAGGCCACTATAGCGACTCAATATCCCAGTACAACGTCTACTACTGGGACAAGGACGAGCCATGCGCCTTCCTGCCCGGCGGCAGGGCCTCTATGGCTGGGCTGGTGCCAGGCCACCCATACCTTATCGCCATCGAGGCGTGAAACAGCGTGGGCGCGGGCTTCCCCATTGTCGCCCGCCCAGCCGTGCCCGGCCGAGGTGCGCCGGGAGGCGTCACCGGCCTCAAGGTGTACGAGACAGACCCGACGACGAGCCACCTGACGTGGGATGCCGTCCCTGGCGCCGGAGGATACTACCTCTCCAACAGGAACGTCAACAACGCCTCGAGCCAGCTGGAGGCGCTGACGCTGGGCGGCGAGTCCGCGGAGCCGTGCTGGGATGTTGCCTTCCTCTTTCCTGGCACGTGGAACTACGAGTGGGCCGTCACGGCCTTTAATGGAGATTAGGACGTGACCAGGAGCGCTGTCACAGCCCCGCCGGCCGAGGGATTGGCTGGGGGAGGGACATGTCCAGCAGCGCGAGGCTGGTGTCCGCCAGGTGCCTTTCCGGGCCCCCCAGCCACGACGCCCGTGGACAACAGCAACCCGCCGCCTCCAGGTGGTGGTAGCGGTGGCAGTGGCGACGGCGGTGGCGGTGGCGGTCAAGGACCAGGAGCAGGCCAACCGAGCTGTGACGCCGGCACGGGCTGTTCGCCGTGCTCCGGCAACGACTGCGATGGCTGCAAGGACGCCTCGCAGTGTGCAGGCTGCTCGGGCCCGGACTGTTCGGGGCCAGACTGCGGCGGCGGAGGCACCGTGTGTACGGGCCGCTTTTGCTGCTTTGGCATCGACTGTATCCAGGGCACGTGTATTGGGCCGTCGTGTGTCGGTGGCGGCGAGCAGAACGAGAACGACTGCGGCGAGCCCACGATGGCGTCCGTCTGCACCGAGACCGTCATCTCCTCTATACCTTGGGCGGCGACTACCACCACGACGACCACGCGGACGCACTGCGACGAAATCACGGCATGCAATGCCCGCGGCGCCACCAGGACGACCACGCCGCCTCCCTGCTAGTGCACAGCGTGTGGCGCTGAGCCGGATAGCAACTACGAGCTCGACTTTGGAGACGATGGCATGTCGGTACAGTTCCCTTATCCTTCCGATGTTGCTGTCGTCGGCCCAGGCGGCCAGACTCTCTGGCCGACTGACGGGTCCGGGGGCTCTCATCCTGCTCCTACTACGACCCAGCCCCCGTCCCAGCCTCATCCTCCTCCCGCACCAAAGAACCGCCTCTGGATCTCCCAGGAAATGACCGCTACCGAGTTCTTCCTCTTCTACTCGTGGTGGTTCGTCTGGCGCCCGTTCGATAGGAGCTCGTGGTCTATTTGCAATGAGCCAAACGACTACCTGTGCCGGCAGGACGGCAAGGATCTGGGCTGCGACTCGTCGGACCCCCCAGATGGGGACGGGAACCCGGGCTTCCCAGACCGGGAATACACCATGACGGGCAACGAGGCACAGGGCTGCACGTACAAGGGCACATAGGCCGGGCCTGGCAGCTTGAAGTGCCCTAGTTTCTCCAAGCCCATCCAGTATGGTCATTGGTGGTGCGAGCAAAGTTACAGCGACTAGGTGTCTTATATAAGTTCGCTAAGTGAACTATGAGGGATACTTGGGTACTAATTAAGCTGGGAAATTAACCTCCTCTACACGCCGTCTAATTAAACAAGAAGCGGTAATATCAGTGATACTATCAAAGCCATTGTTTATGAAACTCGGTCGGTACCCCTCTGGGAAACGAAAGTCGTACTTGAGCAAGATTTGAGCCAAGATCAATTTCATTTCTTGTGAAACATAGCTGCGACCGGGGCAAGCGTGTTTACCGTAGCCAAATCTGTCTTGGTTAGTAAAAGTGAAAGGTTCAATTGACCCCCAACCCCAGGATGAGAAACCTACCCAATTGAATGGGGCGTTACAGATGTGTAGCCACAGAAACGTGCTTCTTCCGGACCTTGCTCAGCTTTCTTGACGAAGCGATACGCATCATATCGTTCCGGGTCCTCATAGACGTCAGGGTCCTGCATTCGGTCCCCTGACACGGCCACACGGGAGCCTTTGGGCAGGACGACACCGTCGCTAAGTCGGAGGTCCTCCGTAACCACACGCTTGTTGATGACTGGACAACGAGGTCAGAGAATCGCAGTCTAGTCGTATCTAGTATAAGCTGGTACGAACCTCTATTGATAGGCTTCAGTCTCTGGGACTCCTTCATGATGCTTTCCATAAGCTTTAGTTCTGAAAGTGCCGTCTGGGTCCATCCGTGTCTTGTTATGGTATCAACCAACTCGGCTCTTGCAGCACCAACAACTTCATGCTTATCCCTTAGGTCAATCAATATCTGGCAGATATGATCCGTAGTGCTGTGCAAGGCCGCAACAGTAAAGGTGAGTTGGGCAATTACCGGGTCGTAGCTTTGCCCAAGTGTAGAAGCTACTTCTTCAAACCAGTCCAATGCAGTTTCTGGTGATGAAGGCTTCATTTTACCTTGTTTGGATTGCAGCCTCTTTTGTAGGATCGGATCCATAATTTGCCTGCACTCTGAAAGTATCGCTCGAACCGCTTTTGTTCTGGGATGGAAGTGGTGCACAACAGGCAAGAGAAAGCGCGGCCACGGGCGGAGTGCCTGAACAGCACCGATTGCGACAACCGTGTATTGGGCGTTGAGTTCAATCCAACGTTCGTTCGTTGCGAGTTCAGGGCCCAGAAAAGCCATGACGGACGCTCTTGCTACAAGGCCCATGAGCATCTGGTAAAGGGGAATAGAATGCCACTCTAGTGTAGAGGTTTGATTGGTTAGAAACTTCCGAGCGTGATTGATGCTATTCCGCCTAACATACCCTTCGCGTTTGTCCAATTGAACATCAAGAAATCAGTGATCTCAACGGATTGTTCCCTTATGAGTCGAGCTGGCAGGACCGAGTCACTGATTAGCATGTGTCCTGGTTCATAGTATCCCATTAGAAATGATAAGAAAGGACGGACACTTACGAAGAGCACGGTTTAGCCTTTTTGTGATGACCGTGTGCATGAGTTCCCGATAGTCTCCTGCGAAAGAAAATGGATCGAAACCCGGAAGGTTGCCCATGAGTTCCTGTTAAAAACCCACACATTAGAAGAACATTCCATATTTCGCAGTTAATAAGACCTAGCCGATAGACTCACCATTTTTGTGTAGTCGCCTGCTGATAGTCCTTTGTCGCCTTTTAAGTCTTCAACATGGTGACCTCCTACAACTATCACTTCACCACAGTCTGTCTGTATTCGAAATGCATTGTTGTCCTATTATGAGCCAAACATGGGTTAGTGAAATGCAGAGAGAGCAGACAGGAGAGATTGACCTTGGATAGCCCTTTGCGTGACAAGGTTTGAAAGTCAGTGACAAATTCCTTTTCCGCTTTGCGCGTAAATATTCTGCCGAAGAGGGTAATATCGTGAGCCAGTGGGATCTTCCAAGTCTTATATCGGTACTTAGCCCAGTTCGCCAGCTGTGAAAGCACGGTCACGGCAAGGAAGAGAGCAACTAAACTCGTCACGGCCTCTTTGAAGGAGAGCGTGCTCGAATCAATATGGAACCTGAGAGTCGGCTCCATTGTGATTGTACAGAAGATCTGGCAGCAGATTCGTATTCTGTGACTACTCGAAATAGCGTTATTAGGCCTGACGCAAGTGTTTCTGCTTTTTGTATATTTCTTTCTGGAGATATCAGGATGGATGGCTTTTGTTCGGCTCAACTCAAGTAAAGTTGCTCTTTATTCTTCGCGTTCCGTTTGATAAATAGACCTTACCTTACTCGCCAATTTGCTTTTGCAAGCTAAACTAGTACACCACTGCAGGCATCCCAAACCTTAAAAAGTGCTTCTTCACCGAAGGTCGCTTTTGCTAGTAGTGTAGATTAGGGAAAGTATAACCTGGTAAGTGTAGAAATACTAAAAGAAAAGCTTAAGCATAATTTAAAGTTTGGGATGCCTGCAGAGGCATTAGACTTTCATCAAGACCCGTGGATATGAGGTCTTCCCCAAGGTGGCAGGTGGAGATGACTGGTTCGCGCCGAGTTCGGGCTGTGTTTAATGTAACCTCCGCACCGCGCGGACGGTAGATTTACAATTTCACCTTCAACTCACCGCCTGCAGTACTAGCACGCCACGGGTGTTACCCATGACAAGACATTCGGTTGACGTATCAGCCTTGGCATCAGCATGTTCCAGATTTCGTGATTGGTACGGTAGGTTATCAAGTTGAAAGATCGAACAGAGGACCAGAAACAGTTGGGCTTCACACTATACTCCGACCACTCTGATGCGTAGGCGGGCATGACGGGGCTGAACAAGCTGTGGCTCGCTTCACGCTTTAGTGCACAAACTACCTAGGTACTATAGTGGAAGATTATAGTGGTGTTTAATGGTTAAATAATAACTAATAATAAGCTAAAAACTAACTATAAGTAAATATTTAACTATAAGTAGACTACTAACTATAAGCAAACACCACCTATATATCCCCGATAAAGATTTTAATAAAGACTATATTAGCTAATATTTCTATTAATTAAATACTATATTTATATATTATTATAATAAATATTAATTATAATATATTTAAATAATATTATTATTTATTATTTATTTTAAAGTTAATAAATATAATATATTTAATTATAATAATAATAAATATATTTTTTTAACTTATATTATTTTAAAAAAATCAAACTTAAATAAGTTAAAATTAACTAAAAAATAAATTAAAAGTTAAAAATTAATTATATAAATTTAAATTATTTACTATTTACTTATAATTAATAAAAATAAATATTTTATTTAATATTATAAATATAAGGATTAATAATTTTATTATTTATAATATTAAAATTAAATTAAAATATTTTATTAATAATATTTTTATTTTTAAAGTTATTATTTATAATTATAATATAACTATCTTTATTAACTATAATATAGTTATAATTTTTATTATTAATAAAGTTATTAATATTAAAATTATAGAAATCTTTTAATAAAAATAAATATTATTATTATAACTTTTATAACTTCTATAATTATTATAGCTATTATTATTACCTCCACTACTTATATTCTTACTTTTTCCTTATTTTAAGATTAAATTTAAACTTAAATAGTACTTTTTAAACTATAAGTATCTAAATATAAAATTAAGTATTATAATAGAGTTTAATTAAGAGCTTAAATTAAAATTAAAATAGCTACTATATAAAGGAGTAATAAAATAAATAAACTTATTATATCTTATAAAAATATTATTATATAAATAATTTAAAATATTAATAAATATATTAAAATTTATAATAAAGTTTATATAAATAAAATTAAAATTATTAAAACTATTATTATAATTAGAATTATAATTAATGTTAAAGTTAATATTACTAATATTCTTAATATTAAATAAATTAAAAAGAAATACTAATTAAAACTAATTAAATTAATATAATAAAACTAATTAAAGTTAATACCTTACTTAAAAGAAAAGTTAAAGGATTTAAAGTAAGAATAAAAATTACTATTAAAAGTAAATATTAACTATTATTAAATAAAGTATAATAACTATCTTTAAATAAAGTATAATATATAAATTAAAAGAATTTAATAAAAGTAGGTTATTATTATTATTATTAATATTAATTATAACTCTATTTAATAAATTAATATTAAACTTATATTTAATAACTATTTTAATCTTAACTCTTTTCTTTTATTTAAAAGCTTTTAAAAGTATTCTAAATAAAATTATTAAGTTTAATATTTAAAAATCCTAACTTAAAATTAAAGTATTAAAAGCCTTAATAATTATATTATTATAATAATTCCTATCTATACTTTAATTTTATTATTTCTATCCTTTTAATTACTTCCTTTTAAATAAATTCTAAATTAAAGGTATCCTTATAATTTATAAAAATAATTAATATATAATTAAATAATATAATAATTTACTTAATAAATATAAATAAAAGTACTTTATCTTAATATTATTAATTTAAATAAAATAATATTTAATAATCTCCTTTTAATTAAACTATTTAAAGATATATCTAAAATTATATTAAAAGATGTCTTATTAATCTTTAACTTAATAAAATATATAAACTATTTTAATTAATTAATATCCTTAAAATTATAATTAAACTTATAAAAAATCTTTTATCTTATAAACTTATTTTAAAATAAATTATTAATATAAAATATTTTAAATATAAAGTACTTTAAGCGTATATTAAAGTTATAATAAAGGTGTATATTCTTTTAAATATAAAAATTATTTATAATATAAGTTTAAAAGTTTCAAAACTTTATTAATTTAATAATAATATTTAAATAAACATTAAGGATAATTAAAATAATAAATTAAATATTAATAAATATAAATATATACTTATATATTTTTAATTTAATTTAAATAAAACTATTCTTTTAAGTTTAATAAATTTATTAAAACTTAAAATTTCTTAATTCTTTATTTTTAAAAGAATTTAAATATTATAATTAATAAATTTATATATTATTTTAAATTTTAACTTAAAATTAATAATATTATTAAATTAAATAATATTAATAAATAAAGAAAGATACTTCTTCTAAAATAATAAAATAGATATATTAATATAAATAGAACTCTTTCTAAATATAAAAGTAACTTTATAAAACTATAGTATTAATAAACTATTAATAGAGTGAAAGATACTATTAAATAGTTAAAAGTAATATTAATATAACGATTATCAAATAATTAAATTATATAATTTAATATTAATAATAATTAAAAACTTAATAATATATTTATAAATTTAAAAGATTTAAATATTATTTTAAAAAGTATAATGAACTATTTATATTTAATAATACTCTAATAACCTAAAAAGGGCTATATAAAAGGCTACTACTACTATTAAAAGGACTATTATTATAACTAAAAGATTTACCTTAACTATAACTAAGTTAATTCTATTTTAATATCTTAAATTATTAATTTTAAAGTTAATTTAATAATTAATAATTAAAATAAAATAGAACTATATTTTAAATAAAATAATAAAATAATATTTATTAAAAAATATAAAAGTAAATAATTAATAAAATAAAGTATTTAAATATTAAATAAATTTAAATTAAATAATAAAAATAAAAATAATAATAATAACTGTAAAATAAGTTTAAATAATTAAAAATATAACTATTACCCTTTTAATATAAGTTTAATAAAGTTAATACTTTAATAAAGGATAAATAAAATATTTAATAAAAGATTTATATAAAAAGTAGAAATTTAATAAAGAAATAATATTAAAACTTAATAATATTATAATTAAACTTATCTAATATTTTATAATTTATTTCTACTATATCTTTCTTAAAAATAATTATAAATTATTTAATAAATAATTAAAATTAAAGTTAATTATAATAATAATAAAAATTAAATTATAAAAATAATAAAAGAAAGTTAATAAATATTTAATTTAAATATATAATTTACTTTAATTAAAACTTTAATATAATAACTTTAAAAACTTTATAATTTTATTTATAATAAAAACTTATTTAATTATTATTATTAATATTATAAAATTTAACTTATTATTAACTTTAATATTAACTTAATTTAACCTTTAATACCTATTAACTATCTCTTTACTTATTTATTTTAACTCTATTTTCTTTTATATAATCTAATTCTATAATTATTTAATAATATCTAAACCTTTTTTAATTTTAAAATACTATTTTAATTTAAATAAAACACTATAATTATACCTTCCTATAAAACCTTTAAAAAGGATTTACCTTTAGTTATAAATGTTAATATATTAATTATAAAAACTTTAAGAAAGTTAATAACTTTAATATTTTATTTAAGGATTAAAATAATATTATAAGTAACCCTTTTAACTTTAATAATATATTATTTATATTATTTATTAAAGGTAATAATAATAACTTTTTATTTTTAATAATAATAAAATAATAAAATAAGATAATAATAAAAGTCTTTTAAATTATAAAAAAATAATATATATTAATAATTTAATCTTTATATTAATATTTAAGTAAAAGCTTTTACTTATTATTTATAAGGGTTTTATTATTATTAATAAAGCTTATATTATATTTTAAATAATTAATAATAAAGAG